TAGGATCCAGGCACCAATCAGATTTCTTCCTCGTGTGACGTCACTGGGTAGTAGGATCCAGGCACCAATCAGATTTTCTTCCTCGTGTGACGTCACTGGGTAGTAGGGATCCAGGCACCAATCAGATAATTTTGGCGCACCTTCTACAGTCATGGGTTGAGGCATCGAGCGGACCAACCAACACACTTTCTCTTTTCCCGTTTCTCACTGTTGAGTCATGACCTCTGTTAGTAACTTGACCTGTTGTTATACTGTTGCGAGCCGTGTTGTTTGGAGTTAGATGGTGATCACGAATAAATTAGACGGGGATTAATAGTTAGTTGACCTCTGTTGGTGGAGTGAGTGACCTGATCTGTTGTTGTCGTTAGGTAGTGGTCAGCATATTATTACTATTATTATTATTTATTATTATTATTTGTTTTAATTTTCAACGATAAGACCTCGGATTATTTTGAGTGTTATTATTATTATTATTATTATTATTATTATTGCAGCACAACAGAACACTTCACCCCGTGTCACTGAAACCGCTCGTTCACTTATTGAATATATTATCATTCTTCCCACCTATATCTTCCATCTCTTCTTCCTTTTATTGTACTACTTGGCATATTATCATTCTTCCCATCTTTATCTTGATTCTTCACTTCTTTCTTCATTGTGTTACCTACGAGTTTTTCCTATGGTATCAGATTATAACACAGGAATTTATATATTTATTTATTTATTTATATTAATCTCCCCTAAACTAATGAAAAGAAAACGCTTTTAGTTACCTTATAGTCACAGAGTAATATTGACGCCATTGTGACGCCAACTTTGTGACGTAGAATTAGTGTAGATGTCGTTTTATACATATATATTTTTGTGGAAACGTTAAGATTTCAGACTAAAAATGAAAATGGCATTGAAATTTCATGAGATTCTTACCATAACGAGGTGCCATTCTCTCGTTCACAGGTGCCATTCTCGTTCACAGGTGCCATTCTCGTTCACAGGTGCCATTCTCGTTCATAGGTGCCATTCTCGTTCACAGGTGCCATTCTCTCGTTCACAGGTGCCATTCTCTCGTTCACAGGTGCCATTCTCGTTCACAGGTGCCATTCTCGTTCACAGGTGCCATTCTCGTTCATAGGTGCCATTCTCGTTCACAGGTGCCATTCTCTCGTTCACAGGTGCCATTCTCGTTCTCAGGTGCCATTCCTCCTGAATTTCCACAGGTGCCATTCTCTCGTTCGCATTCTCTCGTTCTCAGGTGCCATTCTCGTTCACAGGTGCCATTCTCGTTCACAGGTGCCATTCTCGTTCTGGTGCCATTCTCTCGTTCTGGGTGCCATTCTCGTTCACAGGTGCCATTCTCTCGTTCACAGGTGCCATTACCTCCTCAACTACGGTGACAATAACAGTTACCTTTCCCGACGCCCGGAAGCTGATAGAAACATTAATAACTTGAGAGGAAACAAACCATCATGTACTAATGGGAGAATTATCCAAGGTGGTTATGTTAGGTTGGGTTAGGTTAGGTTAGGTTAGGTTTATTTTGGTTATGTTAGGTTGGGTTAGGTTAGGTTTATCTTGGTTAGGTTTGGGTTAGGTTAGGTTTATTTCGGTTATGTTAGGTTGGGTTAGGTTAGGTTTATCTTGGTTAGGTTAGGTTTGGGTTAGGTTAGGTTTATTTTGGTTATGTTAGGTTGGGTTAGGTTAGGTTTAGTCGGGGTCTTTAACCACTCAGACCTTGGTAATGGAGACTAATGTTAGGTTATGGGGATAAAGACAACAATAACAATGTTTCTGTAGCCGGATGCACTGGAGTTACCATGAGGCGGCGTGACCAGCCAGATGAGCCCGGGAAAAGAGTCAGGGATACCAACCTTAATATGTAAACAACAACAACCTGCTGTCCGGTGAAACCTTATCTATTGTTAAGAAGATTCATGTAAATATATTAAAGATTTGACATGGATATTATTTTTGTTTTTTGTTTCATTCGTTGATGTTAGTGAGAGGAGTTGGTGTTAGTGAGAGGAGTTGGTGTTAGTGAGAGGAGTTGGTGTTAGTGAGAGGAGTTGGTGTTAGTGAGAGGAGTTGGTGTTAGTGAGAGGAGTTGGTGTTAGTGAGAGGAGTTGGTGTTAGTGAGAGGAGTTGGTGTTAGTGAGAGGAGTTGGTGTTAGTGAGAGGAGTTGGTGTTAGTGAGAGGAGTTGGTGTTAGGGAGAGGAGTTGGTGTTAGGGAGAGGAGTTGGTGTTAGTGAGAGCGTGAAAGTAGAGAGGAGCTGGTGTTGGTGAGAGGAGCTGGTGTTAGGGAGAGGAGCTAAAGAAAGGGAGAGGATTGGTACAGTGAGAGGAGCTGGTGTTAGTGAGAGGAGTTGGCAAGAGAGATGGAGCTTGCAAGAAGGGAGGAGGAGCTGGGGCAGTGAGAGGAGCAAGAGAGGAGGAGATGGAAGCAGTGAGGAGCTAAAGCAGTGAGATGAGCTAAAGTTGAAGGAGAGGAGCAGAGGAGTTAAAGGAGCAGCAGTGGAGGAGCGAAAGAAGTGAGAGGAGTTAAAGAGAGGAGTGAGAGGAGTCGGTGTTAGTGAGAGCAGAGCTAAAAGCTAGGTGAGAGGAGTTGGAAAGTAGGAGGAGTTGGTGTTAGGAGAGGAGTTGCAGAGGAGTCGGAGTAGAGAGGAGCTAAAGGAAGGGAGGAGTTGGTGTTAGTGAGAGGAGTTGGTGTTAGGGAGAGGAGTTGGTGTTAGTGAGAGGAGTTGATGTTAGTGAGAGGAGTTGGTGTTAGTGAGAGGAGTTGGTGTTAGGGAGAGGAGTTGGTGTTAGTGAGAGGAGTTGGTGTTAGTGAGAGGAGTTGGTGTTAGTGAGAGGAGTTGGTGTTAGTGAGAGGAGTCGGTGTTAGTGAGAGGAGTCGGTGTTAGTGAGAGGAGTTGGTGTTAGTGTTGGCGGGACAGTTGATACGCTGCAAGTGTTGGTGTGCCTGAGGCGGCAGAGAGGGAAAGTCGTCTCTTGCCCTCACACATCTTCTTTAAAACATTATACTTCCTCTTACTTTCTTTTCCCACTTTCTTTCGTCATCACTTTTCCGGGTATGAATATATTTGGCTGTTTTAGCAATAGATATTTTCGTTTTGTATTTTTGCTAAACATGGATGTAGCTTTACGGTAAAACATTAATAACTGTAATGATGTAGTTCAGTTGTTATTCTCTCATAGTGTTACATACGCATTCACAGTTGGATCGACTGTGGGTGCTCTGGTCACGAACAAGCGACCCCCTAGAACAGAAGGCGAGTGCTGTATCCACTTGGCCGCCGCACCCTAAAAATTAGATTGGGTAGTGTGTGTGTGTGTGTGTGTGTGTGTGTGTGTGCGTAAAGAAAACGTTCATAGTGTATCCATGGACCCAAAATCATTGTAATGTCACGCTATCTTTCAATCACTCATCATAAACAGACAGTGCTGGGGGAAGTTATCGCCTCCATACAGTGAAAGTTTTCCACAATGCTTCAAAAATTTTAGTCCAGAAGTTTAAGAATCGATATAATTATGATGTTTAGGCCCATAGACGCATTATATATAACTGTTCGTCGTGGTGAGAAATTTGTTTTTGTAAGATTTATTTGTATCGCTATATTAGAATTTTAAACTAGTTCACTCTCTCTCTCTCTCTCTCTCTCTCTCACATTATCTTTCCGTGTGGAGTTTAGTTTATTCCCTGTGAAGCCTTAGGCGTGTATCTACAAAAGCAGAACACGGATTGTTAAAGATGAAACTTTCACCCAAATTAATGGTCAGTTAATTCATTATTGTTTATACAGTATTTATATACATGATTTTAGTTCTCTTAAGCTACGATATCACAAACAGTTTATTCTTGGGGTGAAGATTTCCTAACTTAACCTAACTAACTAACTAAACTTTTAACTTAACTTTCTAACCTGACCTAACTTAACTTTCTAACCTAACCTAACTTAACTTTCTAACCTAACCTAACCTAACTTTCTAACCTAACCTACCCTACCTACTCTAACCTAACCTATGCTTAGAATTAGATGCGGTTCTTGTGTCCTTTGTTACGGGTACAATTTTAACATAGTGTAGGGAGGTATAAGAGAAGGGCGGGTCAGCACCAGTGATAGGATGAGTGTTGCAGCAACCAGATGAACTGCATGCCTCGTTCTTTAAGGGAAAAACTGACTCGGCCACTCCTACACTTGACTACCATTTGCTTCCTTTAAGATATATACTTTCAGACGCTTTTCCAATGACATCAACAAGTTTCACAGACGCGCGCACACACACACACACACACACACACACACACACACACACACATATATATGTAGATTGACACATCGACCTACGGTAAAGATACAGTAAATATCTCGACTTTTTTTTTTTTAACTCGTTGATGGGAAGAAGGGTAAAAGGTCCTACATCTGGCATCTACATTTCTGTTTATTTATTTGTTATTGTTTATTACTTGTGTCGATGGGCTCAGAGTTTTGTAACATCTTAAGACAATTATACAGTATTGACCCAAAAGCAGTTTTTTTTATATTAAAGAATAATTATTAGAATTTGAGTTGTAATCACATGTACTAAAACTACTCACTTCAGTTAACTCATGTTGTGATCAGGTAAACGTTAAAGTGATTTCAACTAATATTTGTAGTAAAGTTTGCACCATGAACGACGGATCTGGTGCCTGTAATAGTTTTGGTGTTAATGGTAATAAATTCGGTTTAATATTTCAGCAAAAAGTCGTATATGATAGGATAGGCTTGTCTAAACAGCGAGCTGGAATGAAAACTTTCACTTGTGACGGGTCAAAATACTCATTAAATTAGCCGGTAAACAAGTAACAATGAAAAATAATAATCATCTAATTCTAACTCATAAAAATAATACATAAGATGACAGTATTTTAGTTTTGTTACTTTATTAACCATTGTATTGTGTTCTTAAGCCGTGAAATGCACTGTCTTCATTCATTTGTTTTTATCTCTACCCACAGGTGCAGTGGTCGCTAGGTGACAGCGTGGGCGGCGGGAGAAGTGGAGTCGGGCGAGCATTGGCTGGGCCCGGGCCGGGTATGATGATGCCACAGCTGACTAGTCTGGACGTGAAGTGTGCTCGCTCTGGCATGACAGTTCACATGGAATTTGATCGAGTCTTCTCCGGTGTGATCTATTCCAAGGGCCACTTCTACGACCCCGCCTGCAACTACATCACCGTCGACAACTCCGGCAGTCAGAAATATTCGTGAGTAACGCAGGAATAGACTTGATTTAATGAAATTCCATACGTATATAATACGCGAGGTTAGGATAGATTGGTCGAGATAAGTTGGGTTAGGTTAGGTGGAAAAACTTCAACACATGTGATTATTATACGTGAATTTGGTACAATCTGGGATGAGTTCGAATACCAGCTGAATCCAATCAAATTTGAGGGAGGCGTTATGAATATTAGACAAAATACAACATTGGGTTTGTGTATGGGAAGTGTCCGGGGTCTGTCACTGGCGCCCCAACACTTCGAGACATCCCCGGGCTTGAGAGGTGTATACTGTACTGCACTAGATGTTTTGCCTAGCACCATGACAACTGCCTCTGGTCTCTGGTTTCCTCGCTGTGTGTCACCTACCGTAAGTTGGTGTGAACGGAAAAATGATAATTATCCCTCCTTTCTTCCTTCCGTGAGAGATTTGACTTCCTCGCGATAATTTGACGTATAACCAGTGGACCTAAGTTGAATTCTGGTACAAATGTTAATTATGGTAGATAAACATTGATTACATTATCGAGATTTTTATTTACCATTATTTCAGTATTGATTGATAGTTTTCGACAGTCGTTTGTTTTCATTCCTTCTTAGCGGATAAGTGGACAACAGGGGTGGGCATTGCTTGGTGACGTGAGCTTTAAAATAAATATTCCCCCGTCTATAAGGTGTTGTCGTGACCAGGTGTTAAAGACAGTAATCTTGTGTGTGTGTCAGAGGTCAGAGTCGATTGATGAATTTCTGAGTAAATGCGAAGGTTAATACTTGTTTTTTAAAGCTTGATACATAGTGAAAGTTTATTATGTATATGTATGTGTGTGAATAAGTATGAGTACATATGTGTATGAGCGCGCGTGTATTGTAGGATTATGTTAATAAGTACGTCTACAGGTACATATGTGTGTATGAATGTGTATGAGTACGAAATTTGTGTTTGGATGTATGTATGCAGGTGTCTGTGGGCGAGCGTGACTGTCACCTCCATCAGGCTTATCGTTGAGGCTAAGGCTGTATCAGATGGTGATGTTGGGAGGCCCGAGGTTGTGAACACGTCAGGGCCTATCAGCTTGTCGACCTTGGTTACTCTACCAGTATTGTTGTGGCTGCCTCCCTGGAGTTTCTCGCGGGTATAGACATAAAAAAAAAACATTATGGAGGAGACGATTGGAGATAGATAAAAAGAGAAATAGAGAAAGTGAAGAGGAAGGGCAAGGAACAGAGAGAGAGAAGGAATCTATGACTAGGTTGCGTGTTTCAAGGTGATCAATCTCTGACTACTGTATACTGTACTGTACAATACAACGCTCGTCTTCTGTCCTAAGGGTTGCCGATTCCATCCCTAGGTACTCCCAGTCTATACCTAGCTGTAAATAGGTACCTGATTCTATAGTTAGGCAGCGGTCGGAGGGACGAGTTATTTATAATGATTCTCGTTAACTACTGTGTATATCTTTGTGAGAGAAGGTAACAAGTGGATGTGTGAGGAGGATACAACCCCGTATAAGTACAGGTAACAGGAGGGCGGCAGATGGGTAGGGTAGGTTGGCAGGTGGTGGGGAGGGGGGGGGGAGCAACCTGTAGAACCAGCACCTCCCTCACCTTGAACTATCCTCGGCGTGAAGGAACACCATGTACAGTATTTTATATTGTGTGTGATGGAGGAAGAAGCATTGGAAAGATTAAATTATATATTTATTAGTCATATAACTTATACTAGACTGCCTATTACTTTGAACTTTGAACTGTTCATCACGGGAAAGTTTTCTGCCTGATAGATCGGTACTGAAGGGGGAGGAAGTAGGAATATTTGCTAGCTATTTATTAACCAGAGTGTGTTGTGCCTTAAACAGAGGTGAACTGTGATTTGTTCCTTCACTGCTTCTCACTTGACACATGCGAGTACTGTACAGGTATATGAAACACTATATTGTACAGTAATTAATTTCCCTTTTATATTATTATTATTATTCTTGTTGCTGTTATTATTATTATTGTATTGTTATTACCATCATCATCATCATCATCATCATCATCATCATCATCATCATCATCACATCATTATCGGGCTTCTCGGTGCCTTGAACTCTGAACTCCTAAAAGAAAGGCACAATAAGCACCATCGTCAACAATAATGATTATTTTTGAAACACTAAAAATTATTTTAAGTAATCCTCTCTATTTTTACATTGGCTAGGATGGACCATTGTTTTTACACACACACACACACACACACACACACACACACACACACACACACACACACACACACACGAGAACTAGACAAGGTAATGAGTAATCACACCAAATTTGGATCTTTAGTTGTGTTGTAATTTGAGTTTTATTTGTACGCGAATTTATTATATTAAACGGGGAAAATTAAGATAAAAAATCAGTTTGTAACTTTCTTAAAAGATGAGATAATGCTAGATTGAGAGAGAGAGAAATGAGAGAGAGGAGTTAAAGAGAGAGAGAGAGAGAGAGAGGTGGGGAGAAATGAGAGAGAGGAGTTATAAGAGAGAGAGGGGGAGATTGGGAGAGAGGGGTGGGGAGAAATTGAGAGAGGAGGGGGAGAAATTGAGAGAGGAGGGGGAGAAATTGAGAGAGTTTCGTCTTAAATACTTAATATATTACGTAGTTGTACGCCGATGTACTGTACAGTGAAACCTCTATTTAGCGGATTATGTGCAATAGGTGTAGTCCGTTATATATGAAACCACCTTCTAACGGACTATATGTAAGAGGTGTAGTCCGTTATCGAAGTCCGTTATATAAGAAACCTCCTTCTAACGGACTATAAGAGGTGTAGTCCTTTATCGTAGTCCGTTATATGGAGGCTTCACTGTCTACCATTATCCTACAGTTATTAATTCCTTTTCTATCGTATGCACAGTGTAGACCGTAGAGCCATTCACTCGAGTCCCTCTGTTGGCCTTGGCGATTACTAACCTAACCTAACCGTATTTTTTTTTTTTTATTATACACTATATTTCATCATACAACTTCATTTTTTTTAATATGATTATGATTTTTTAAAAGTCTATCACACATACTTTTTTCTTTCTCCTCTACCCCCTCGCCCTCCTCGCCCTCCTCTCCCCTCGCCCCTCTCTCCCCTCCCCTCCTCTCCCCCTTCCCCGCCCCCCCCGCCCAAGCAGCGACCTATGGCTTGAAATTTATACTCAAAGATTATCATTAGTGACGCAATGTTTTATTATTTGTAACGCAATGTTTTATTATTAGTGACGCAATGTTTTATTATTTGTGACGCAATTTTTTATCATTAGTGACGGAATCAGTTTTATTTCTGTTTGATATATATTATTTACGTGAAGGATGTAAACACTGAGTCACAACAGCTGATGAGTAAACATTTGTCCGAGAAAAAGTGAAAATATCCTGGTTTTAGTGGGTTTATGTATTGGACGTGGGTGACGGGTTTATTCTTCCTGGGTTTATGTTTTATGTATAGTGTATGGTTTTAGTCAGTGTTCTGTTGATTATTATTATTATTGTTGTTATTATTATTAGCAGTAGTAGTAGTAGTAGTTTTTGTTGTATATATAAATGGTAGTACAGTGGTAGTAGTAACGAGGGTAGTCATATAAGGTCACACACAGACAGGGTTGACCCATACTGCGCCCTCCCAGACATAAAACTTTAACTGATTTACTCACCCTGAAACTTTTACACACACACACACACACACACACACACACACACACACACACACACACACGGTTTGTTGAGGTTAAGAAGGGATAACTACACTACCTTGATTTGTATGGATAATTTTTTATGGGGTGGCTCGCCTTGGATTAACCGTACTGGAGATGGATTAGCTTTGATAAGGTTGTAGATGGTTTAAAGTTAGAGTTACTGACACTGGCCTCTCTCTCTCTCTCTCTCTCTCTCTCTCTGTCTCGTTAACTAGCAGGTCGAGAGGTCGGTCAGGTGTGTGATAGTGTCTCGTTATGGTGCTTTAGTTAGGGAAGGTATTGTGTGTGTGTAATGGTTAGGTGACTACAGTGGTGGTTATATTCACTGTAGTGGTGGTGGTGATGTTACTATTTCCCCCCACATGCCCTTATTACCCCCCCTCCTCCCCTCTATCACCCCCTCCATGTGAGATATAGTACGTTAAGGAAGAGAGGGAGGGGTCGGGAGGGGAGGTGTGGGTGCAGAGAGAGACAGAGAGAGAGAGAGAGAGAGAGGTTGGGGGGTAAGCGACACATTTATACTAGGTATTAGTAAATATGTCATGCCCTCTTCCCCTCCCTCTCTCCCTCTCTTTCTTTCTCTCTCTCTTTGTTCATCGCCATTATCGCCATGTTCCACCACCTTCACCTTTTCATCTCATGGTTTCGTAATCCTTCCCTTCTCTGCCTCCTCTTCGTGTCACCCCCTTCACCCACACCGGCCCATACCCTTTAGCATATAACGACACACACACACACACACACACACACACACACACACACACACACACACACACACACACACACACACTGGAGGATGATGCATGAGAAGGTAGGTAGGTGTGTGTGTGTGTGTGTGTGTGTGTGTGTGATTCTTCTTCTCCTTCCCCAACACACACACACACTCGCTTCTTATGTCTGTTTCACCTGTGTATCTCTCTCTCTCTCTCTCTCCTAAACGATCATTAATTCAACTTTCACTGCCAACTACAGTCTCCAACACACACACACTGTAACCATTCATCACCCTCCACCATGCCACCGCCTTCATTAGACAAAACTCAACATAACCCACGTTTACCCTTCGTTGTCTTCCTATAGCGGTAGATAAGTCAGGTGTGTTTGTTTTAGATAAGACAGGTGTGTTTGTTCAGATAAGACAGGTGTGTTTGTTCAGATGAGACAGGTGTGTTTGTTCAGATGAGACATTGGTTTAGCAGACATGGTACATACAGTGTTTACAAGCACTGGCAAAACAGCCTGTCAATTATTGTAAAGTACGTTTTTTCTCTGAATAGTTTTAATGGCTTTCTGGAGCTATCCTTACTTGGATTGGTTTACTGTTCGTATGCCTCATTGGGTGTATGCCTTATGTGTATATGCTTCACTGTTTGTGTGCCTCACTGTGTATGCTTCTGTACTGTATATCTCATTACTTGTATGCCTCACTGTGTATGCTTCTGTACTGTATATCTCATTACTTGTATGCCTCACTGTGTATGTATCCATGTGTAGATGCCCCACTGTGTGTATGCCTCAATGTATGTATACCTCAATGTATGTATGCCTCACTGCTATGTCTATCTCACTGTATGTCTACCTCACTGCATGTATGCCGAACCACTGTGAACATGTAGGATGATTTCACTGCATTGGTATCTACTGTAACCTTTTTATTTTTTATTGATTGTATTATTATTATTATTATTATTATTAGTATTAGTAGTAGTAGTAGTAGTAGTAGTAGTAGTAGTAGTAGTACGATAGCTCTCCTTTGGACGTTCTCATTGCCTGGTATTCTCTGGGAGACATAAGTAAGGTGGGAGGTTCACCTTTCAAAAGCCTTATTATGATTGAAGAGAGATTCATTAGGTGTATTGAATTTTTCCTAATGTCCGTTTCGCTCTTGAAGTCGGCCAGGGGTACAGAGAGACGTTTATTAGAAGGGTACAGGCTCTCTCTCTCTCTCTCTCTCTCTCTATATTATCTAGTGTTCCATCTCCCTCCTACTCCTTCCTGTCTCTCGTTCACTCCTTTTTGTCCTACTCTGTTCATCACTCCCTCCCTTACATTGTTTTCATTCCCTCCTCCCTTACCCCTGACCTGCCTCCTCCTCCTCCTAACCCCTGACCTGCCCCCTCCTCCTCCTTAACCTCCCCTCCTCCTCCCCCACCTGCCTGCCCCTCCTCCTCCCTAACCCCTGACCTGCCCCCCTCCTCCCTAACCTCTGACCTGCCCCCCTCCTCCCTAACCTCTGACCTGCCCCCTCCTCACTTTCCCCTTCCACTCCTCCCCATGGTGACACTGTTGGGTGGGTGTGGCCCAGCTAAGGGTACATCAGGGAGGTCCAAAGGGGTAAGGGAGAAGGAAGAAGGGGGGTATGTCAGGGGTAAGGGAGGAGGGGGGTAGGTCCTGGAGGAGGGGAGGGGGTAGGTCAGGGAAAAGGGGGAGGGGAGAACAGGAAAGGTAGGAGGAGAGAGGAAGGAGGGAGGAGAGGAGGAGGAGGAGGGTTAAAAGTGGAGTTTGATGTGAAGGTGGGGGGGGGTGTAGATGGAGGACATTTGTTATTCCTCCATTTAACTCTTATTGCCTTCTTCATCTTCTTTTATCTTCTTCATTTTGCTTTCTCCTTTTTATCAATTAAATTTCAATAGTTTATTCCTTGGTAGTTCTTTTTATCTTCTTTGTTTTATCTTTTATTTTATCTTCTTTGTTTTATCTTTATGAAATCATCTTCTTTATTTCATCTTCCCTCTTCTTCCTTCCCCTTCTCTCCTTTCACTTCTCACGTGACAAAGGCAGCTGTAGGGTGGAACCAATGTGGCATAAAAGTGTCAAGTTCAGTTAAGAAAAAAGTCTGTAATTGTTGGATGTGTGAGAGTTGTGTCATAAAGTGTTGATGTGTACTTATAAGATGTTTAGTTAAGGTCAGGTGTGAGAGTGATGAGGCAGGTGGACAGTCACTCACTCATGATGACGGGCCGTGGGTCATGGCTAAATAGCGGTCATGGGGTTATCTGCACCTCTCCTTATAGAACCCAAACACACTCCCTCCCCCGTCTGTCTGTGTCTGTCACCTCAAATAAACGCACATACTGTACCTACCACATTTCCATACAATGAGTTGACATTCGGATACGGCACATTTTACCTCGGGTCATCCCTTAAGTCATTTTGCCAATGTGATTTAGGTATCCTCTTTATAAGTCCGTGAAATGTAATTCCAAGACCATATGGATGGCTTTTCAGGTTGAGTTTAGCCATAAATGTTCCCAGATAGACCAGTAAGGCAGTCTTAAAGTCGTGAGGAAGGTATCATAATTAACCTTTTTTGCTTAATGGCCGCCCAACTAGAGGTAGCCATGCAGAGGTAAAGAGTCTAGTGACCTGTGTAGAATCCACGTTGTTCTTGATAATCATTTCTCGGAATATTTTGAAGCCCAGTACTGTACCCCACTCGATTCCACAGCTTGGGCCGGTAATGTTCCATAGGGCCACCACCCTCTTGTGTGAAGGAGTATTTCCTTATGCTTGCTCTACATGATATCTTGGTGAGCTTGAAGTTATGTCCCATCGTGTTGATGGTGCGTGACATTATATAAAAGTGGCCCAGGTTCACATTTTCCAACTCTTTCAAGATTTTGAATGTCTTTATGAGGTCTACCTTATTGTGTCTTGTCTGAGGAGTTGTTAGTTAGTCCTAAGGCCCTCAGTCTATACTTGGATAATCCCCTTAATAAATTTGCTTGTGATGCCATGTGCCTGGATATTAGAGGCTAGCCATGCATGTGGGACTGTCAAATGCATTAGAAAAATCCATGTACAACACATCCACTGGTAAACCGTAGTCCATGTAGTCTGTTACTGTTTCAAAAAAAGTGAGTAAGTTTGTCAGGCAGGATTTTCTCTCCACGAAACCGTGTTGTGATGTGTTGATAAGACTGGGCCACTGTGGTGGCAGGCAAAAATCATCCCACCAATTCTACTTGGGTTTAGTGTTCACCACCATTATTATGTTCCTGTCAGTTCACTATTAACCTCTACCATTTCCACACAGGTTCAATGTTCCCATAGATAACTGTGGAACATCAGGACAGCTGGACATGGCTACACCAGACCGGGACATGTATTTTGAGAACACCATCATCATCCAGAATGACGCTCTCATCCAGGAGGTGTGGGACACTGCCCGGGCGATCCGCTGCACCTGGCAGCACACCATTCAGAAAAGTGTTGGCTTTACCCCATTCAAGGTGTATGAGCCTCTTAAAGTGAGTTGATTGACGTACATTCTAACCTAGCTGATTTAGCATCCTTGGGGCTCTACCCCATTTGAATTATTTGTAGATTATGAATTCGCTGAAGTATGGCCAATTATCCTTTTTGTGCCATATGTAATTCATGTTATTACACAAGGTCAAATAGGTGTTAATCAATATTAATGAAACATCATCTTTCTTAACATAGAAATGGTGCAGGTGGAGTGAGGCTAACACTAATGGTATTTATGTATACAGTCAGATTAGGGTACAGTACTTTGTATTTGGCTCTCAACTCTTTATTATTCCTAGCTTATACTATAGACAGGCAAGGGGTGATTTTATATTATATAGTAGTTTATCAGCACCTCAAAGAACATACTCAGTGTATCTATATCTGGAGCTAGCAAATGGCCACCTCTCTAGCAGTCACAGCCTCAGGTTAAAGAAACCACAAGTACAGTACAGAAAAGTGTCAGTGTGACCTTTATTGGAGTAAAAGCTCTGAACTCTTGGAATAACCTGCCGGAGAGTTTTGTGATGGCACCAAGTGTGAGCTCATTTAAGACCAGACTTGATCAACACTAGTGCAGGTTCAGGTACATTCTGGAGCCAGAACTGTACAGTATTTGCCAACAGTATGTAACAAAGATGTGACTGATCACCCAAATGGCTAACAGGCCGATCAGTGTCAAAGAGTATACAGTAAAGTAAAGTTAGAGAAGAAAGGATGTTTTTGTACTGTATTACCGACTTGCGTCTGGAGTGTTCTTAGGCTTGCTAGTTCAGTCCCGGATCTTGAAGTAAATCCTTCATTTTGTAAGATTTTGAAACAAATTCTTTATTTTTCATACCTCTGAAAGTGGGTCATGGTTGCCAACTCTCAGACACTTCTGTATCTTCTTTGTGTCATGTAGCAAGCCAAATACAGTACCTGTATACACCTACTGTATTATCCAATCAATCAATTTAGATGTGTTACTTCTCTAGGTACCCGTAGAACTGGATGCCCGGTCAGTAAATACCTTGATGGAAATTCAGCGTGGATCAGGACCTTTTTCTAGTCCAGCTACGGGCTATGTTTATATGGGCGACGACACCTCCGTTGTTATTTACGTCCAAGGTGAGACATTGCAGCACTGTACAGGTACTTGTTTCACCATTAACTTCATTTAACAAAACAGGCCAATAAAGAATCATAGATTTAGATTTTACTTTATATACAGTACAATATTGCTTTATCAGTTTAGTATAGTTCTTACATATTAAGTACAGCTGGTACTCTCATGCTTCAGCATCTTATAAAACAAGTGTATTTTTTATTGAATTTCTATATTCATAGTCACAAAAGATATACTGTAGCAGCATTATGTAAAACTTTCTTTTTGTATTTGAAAGTTCAACATTATATATACAGTTTGGTTAGAGCTTTCTCACTCAAGCTTAAGAGTTACGTCTTGGTTACTGTACATTTTATTGAGCACAGATATCACAAAACATCTGTACTCTTTCAATACAATAGTTATACTGTTTCACTTGGTTTAATACTTGAGCTGATGATGGTCAACATAGTCCTTCTCTGTTAACACTCAGATTTTACCCAAATTATGTCTTGGTAGATCCTTCCCACAAGATGGATGCAAATGTGATCTCCTGCAATGCAAGTTCTGCGGGAGGGGCGATGGTGGAACTGCTCGACTCTCGTGGATGTGTAAAGAGACCCGATCTTTTGACACAGTTTGCCAAGACGAGAGAGACCAATGGTGTGGACGCAGATCTGATGTTATACTCTTACCTCAAGGTGGGAATAATTTTTACTAACCTGCTTTTTATGGTTCTAGACTAAAGTAATAAAATGCTGTGTAGTATATATTTTAGGGCAAATAATTCTATATTTATATCATTTCCCTCGATAAAATGTACTGTACTGCACTGTAGTGTAATGTACCTGATTCAACAAATTTTTCCAATACTGTACACTCTGTTTGGTTAATTTTTAACAGTTAACCAAAATACACAGACTTGTACAGGTGTAAAACTTGTTCCAACTTTGAAATAAAAGTACAGTGTGTCAATAATTTAGATTGACTGCAGAGAATGACCTGATTCTTTCCTGTCAGAGTTCGAGAAGAATCTGAAAAAAATACCTTTTTCAAAAACTGTGATTTCTAAATGTGAGAAATGCCACTTCTTGATTTTCAGACTAAATGTGATTTGAACAAAATTATATGAAGAAAGTCGTCTTATAAAGAATCAAGTATTTAAATTCTCGCTTTTTCTATTGATAACTGACCATATCATCAACTATCTCTATCTACAACTGTGTAACAATTCAAAGCTAAATGAAAATCTGCATTGTTTTTATTGTACAGTAGGCAAGTGAGGAGTACTGTACCTACTTTAATATGTTGTAGCAAACAGTAATTAATATCCCTTTAAGCTACATAGCACTAATAGTGTAAACATAACTTAATATATATAAAAACCTTTTGCAGGCATTCCGCATTGGAGAGAGTCCTGAATTTCTTATCTCGTGTCACCTGGAAGTGTGTGAAGGAGAATGCACTGAACCTTGTAGTGGTGGACCTTATCCTTCGAGGAAGAAGCGTCAGGCGCCTTCATCAGCGCTACCATCGGCAGTTGTAGAACTCCAGCGGGGCGTGGTTGTGGTCTCTCGGGAACAGCTTGCTGGTTAGTATTTTAATTATGGTTTTCTTGTGATGTGAGTATTATAAATTCCATGTACAGTATTAAGCATCTTCTCAATGGCCTTTTCCTGATTTTCTCTTTATATTTAGCAGATTACTTAAATAATCTTGATCAATTTATTATCACAGCTTTTGTCTTGCTTTCTTTACCAGTTATACAGTACAGTATAGTACTCCATAGCTCTTTAGATTGTCTTAATTTTTGTTTTGTGAAATTTATTGACCAGCTTTATCTCCATGTAAGGTACATTACTGCTTATGTCTTTGTCACTCAAGATTAAACTACATTCTCCTTAAGTGTTTACTAATGTCCCTTCTGGCTTGAGGGAAGGGGCCTGGAAATGAATGCATTTATGTTGTACAGTACTGTTGTTGTAGGTATAAAATAAAAGAAATACATATGCTGGCTGGCTTATCCATCATCTTAAAACTTAGCTTGTGATGTTGCTAAATGCTGGCAACTCTGTTGCTGGGTTTGATGTGAAAGTAACTGAAAACTTTGTAAGAAAATTATGAGTGAAGTTTTGGAAGAAAAAAATGTGTAGGAGCCTCCTACACATTTCATTTTCTCCTGCTAGGAGAAGAATTAGATTATCAGCAGATACAAATTACTGTATAGTAGGTGTGAAAATGTGAAGTCATTGGTTTATATGTACCTATAGGCATTAATAAATATAAAGCTGTAGTATCTAATGAAAACTTAATCTGTAAGCCCAGTTCAGCATTTTGAAAATTCTACAGTAGTTCAATGTGTACAGTACTGTACAGTATAACATTACAAAACCTCAAAATTAAAATCTCTTCCAACAGGTGTTGAAACTTGTTGGGTGAACTCTACCATGCTTGTGGGCATCACTGGACTCCTCTGTGTGGTGTTCGCTCTGTCATCACTCTCATGTTTTCTAGTACATAAGCTCAATATCCTACGTAATCAGTTACAAGGCAAACCCACATTTTGATAATGGAATATCAGACAGGTTGGTCCTCAGTTGATTTGACAGTTATGATTTGTAATTTTTGGGCTGGTTCCATGGTACATTTGTCTCTTTTACAGTTTGGGCTGGTTCCCTTTGCAGTTCTTTTGGATGTTGGATGACAGTCACCAAGATGTCTGTGGTTCTAACTCCCATTACTTAGGCTTACCTTTAGAGCTTGGGGCAACTTAGTGCTAAAATATTGTCATCATTCGACATCATAAAGTGTTAGTGCATTGGCTTGTATTGATGGTAAAAACAAACACAGTACCATAATTATTTGTATCACTACACTGACTTTCTTTATTATTGTAAAAGCACTATCTTTTCCTGAGCTCTGAGTTGCCATAAAGGGAACTGTATTTCTGTAGTAGTATAACTTCAACTGAAATAAAATGTTTTGATATAATATTTTGATTTTTAATATTTTCAGTGCAATTAAGTACAGGTATCCCTTGTTTAGTCATTTTTCCCATGGTGATATTTCGGTTAAGCAGTTTAAAATTTTCAATACCCTTTGTTGTTTAATGATTATCAATTTTTGGTTTAGCAATCTTCAACCCTAGGATAAATTTGGGAGGGAAGTTGGAAAAACTGGGGATAATGTGCTCTAAGTGCACATCATTACAGTACAGTACTGCAATGTGACTTATAAATAAAGAAAATACAGTAGTATAATTTTTTAAAGTACTCTACAGTAATATTTAAGTACAGTAAATGCACTTTTGGAATAGCATCTACATGTTATCAGCTCACCTTGCAATGTTTTACTTTTATTCATTACTGTATTATTTACTTTATTATTACTGTTTATACATTTAGAAAAATAATAGTTTGCTCAGTACAGTGTACTGTAATTACAAATAGTATAATATTTTGTAGCAAGCCAAGTCATTGTAATGGAGTATGTTGGAATAATGAGGAACAATACAGTATTCGGAACTACCCGAATAAGGTGTAAAAAGTGAAAATAAAATCAAACACAGTACAGTATACTGTACTATAAAACTACAGATATAAAGTAAGAAAAATGAAGAGCATGGGTGTGTATGTGTTGGAAATGAACATTGTATTGAGGCAGCGAGCTGTAATTGTGGCTACCCACAATCCCCCATTTGATATCATGGCATACCGGCAGCAGCCACACACTTCTCTAGAGGCAGCTTGGTGACTGCCCGGATGAACTGTCGCGTGTATAGTACAGTACTGTGCCAGTAAATATGAGGAATAAGTAAAAATACTATAAAAAAAAATTATAATAAAAAAAATAATAATAATAATGTGTTGCTATTTGGCATCATTTCACGGGATACAAGACAGAGAACAGCCGAGAGATCCCCCACACTGCTTCCCCCTCCCGGCTCTGTAGGTTAACTGCCGAGCACGTAAGAAATGTTTATCTTTGTTTTTAACCTTATAATTTTTGTTTTCTTTAACACATTCTGTATGAACGATTGTGTGAGCGTGTAATAGAGTAAAAGAAAACGAAAAAAATATGTATTTCTACCAGAAATTAGGAGTTGAACACTAACATAGCTTACAGCTCAGCCTCGGCTACATAATTACATGGCATCAACATGGATTTTATTTCTTGTTTAGGATATTATTTCAAGCTTCCTCCTCGTTTAGTGATCATTTCACTTAGAGATCAATACCTGTACTGTGATACTACAGTACTATGAATTATTTCATGGTTGTATTCAATAGACAGTACCAACACTGTCCTTTATTAAACACCTGATGCACCTAATACTGTACAGTATAAGCAAAGCTTCGGGTTTGACACGAGAACAATTGTTATTTATTTTTTTTTTTTACGGGGATTAGCCCACCCGTGCACAGGTCACTAACCCACATTGGGGCCTGGGGGACGAAAATGTAATACTGTAATAATAATAAAGAACCATAAAGAAATACAAAAATGAAAAACAATATCAAGAGTGAGAAACGATATATGTATGTTGTGTTGTCAATGGGAAGAGAAACAATTGAGACCCTGTAATTGTGTGTAAATGAGGCAGAAAGTCAGATCAGCAACCTGGGACTTGGTCACAATTTTCGTGATGCCATATGGCAGCAGGGTCTACCATTAGACAATACATTATGCTTCCAGTATCTTTACTGTACTTGTCTTTTTTTTTTAAAAGGCATGCCTAGTGAACAATAGGAATTGGTAGTACATTACAGTACTTGTGGAAATTATTTTGTATATTTCCAGAGAGAAATAGCAATTTGTATACATTGCTTTAGCAATTGGCAGGTGTGGATGGTGGACTTCTGTATAAATTCATTGTTGAATGTGCTTGTCATGGAATACAGTACTGTACTCTTCATAAATTGTATAATCCATGATGCACCTGTATAAATAATGGTGTTGGATTATTACTATGAATAATTAATCTGATGATCGTAGGTAGCCATCAGATGATTTCACCGGGTTGGGACAAGTTAACTCTCATAAATCACTTTAATCCTGGTGAATATTAATTATTTTATATAAATAAACTAGTAGTATATTAAATTGTATTATAACTAATTTTATGAAACACGTAGTCTGTCAAAGTAATGAATAAAATTAGCGAGTGACAACGTGTCACATAGTCGTTATTTTGATGGGCTTTTCAACAGAGAGCTGTTGTTCAAGTCGGAAGGCAGAGCTACAGATACCACCGTGACAAATAGACCGACCAAGAAAGAAGGACAACTCTGTTTTTATAACATTAACACAAGTGTATATCAACGTAGCTACAACTCAACACTGGCCGAGCCTCTTTAGACCTTCATTAAAGATTCATAACTTCCTGTGGGAATCAGCTAAGTATCTTAGAGTTCTGTAGGAGAAAGGTATAGATTGCATAGGACTGGAATGGAGAAGAGGTAAGTTCTCCATTGACAAAATTTAATTAATTGTTTATTTAATGTCGGTCAAGTGTTTAATTTTCGACAGTACAGTACTAGTTATACATAAGAGCCCATTACAATTAAACTTTCAATTATTTTATAGTTTTACCGGTAACTACGCTATGATTATTGAATGTCCCGAGACAATGCTCTACTGTGTGCTACTACTAGCTGCAGTAGCAGGTGTTATTTGTCAACCCAAAACACCGAGAAATTTGTCAGATGCAAAAGCCTGATATCTAGGTAGATATGGTTTATCCTTTCCTTATTCTGCATAATATGAAAAGGTAACTCATGCTGTCAGAAGCTGCCTGCTGCAATGATCACCTGATCCTCTATATCCCACACAGAAAGACTAGTTGGAATTATATATATATATATATATATATATATATATATATATATATATATATATATATATATATATATATATATATATATATATATATATATATATATATATATATATATATATATATATATAATGAAGTAAAGTGGCAAATGACTTTGCACTGGGAGAGGAGAGAGAGAAGTAAAGCATAGAAACGGGAAGAAAAGTGGGAGGGGTAGACAGCAGGTGGGCTGTCCACCTGGCGGAGACGAGTTGAAATGTTGGGGTGGTGGCCGCACGCAGCACACGCCCGCCCGCTCAAGGGAGGGAGGTGGAGGGAAGCTAAGCTAAGCTAGCTAGGTATTCATTATTGTAATGGGTGTTAATTTATGTTTTTCTGATGGTATATATGTATGTATGTATATATATATATATATATATATATATATATATATATATATATATATATATATGCAGAATATTCTACACTAGAAGTAAGTGTTAAAAGCTTGTGTTGCTGTATCATCTCTGACTGTCTGTCTTCCCTTTCCTGTTCACATTTTCTTTTTCTTACATTTGGGGTTGGATTATAGCTCTTACTTTTGCTCCCATTTTGAAGCATTTTACAGTAAAATCCCCATAATTCTTACCTCTCATATTTGTAATGTTGGTCACGAAGTATATACAGTATTACAATTTTTATAATACAGCATTTGGCGAAATTTCAGATTGACACATTTATGATTACTGTATATGATTCACATGTGATGTAACCACCCGCCTCTGTATAAACAAGTATTATGTGTCAATGTGATAATCAATTGTGGAGTGCACATCTACAGTTTACCCTAAAAGTTTTTCCCCTCCTCTATTTCCGTTTGAGCCATTGTCTGATGAATCCTAAATCTGGTACCGTATTTAGAAACTTCTAAATTTTGATTGAGGCAGATAATGGAAAATTACGATTGTGTTTTGTTCTTTCCCTTGGGAGGCGTCCCTCCCATTTCGTAAAATTTCATAATTCGTAAGGGCTAGAGCCCCTATCACTTTGAATTACAAAGGAATGTCAGAAAAAAGTTAAGTAGCGAATCATTTGGCTCAGGAGTTCGTCAATACACCATCTTACTACAATGGCATTCCAGCCCACTGGTCAGTCACTCACTTGGCTTCCATCATGCTGCCAGGTTTGAATGAATCCTACTGAAAAACGTGACATCACTTCTAAGGCCGATTATTCAGGATGCTCGTTTTATTATGTTATTATTATTCCTGCCTCCAGTAACTGTACAGAGATCTGCCGATGGTCAAGACCCCTACTGCATTTGCATTTGGAGGGTAGAAGTACTGTATGTGGTGAGGTAGGTGAAGTCAAAGGTAAGATCCCTCCATCACAAAAATTGAAACACTACTGAGAAGGAAGACTGGGAAGTTTTCTTGCCTAAGCGAGCAAAATATAAATGCCTACTCGGCAACATACTCTAGCCAGGCCTGCCAGGGTTAAGAACATTTATATAAGGAAACCAAGATAGGTAAATACTTGATAATCCAATCTTTATTATAAATTGTACAAAAATATTATTTTCAACAAGTACAAACAAGAACAGCGAGTTAAATTATTCTGCTGTTTAAAGAACAAACAATTAATAGTTTGAGAGGGAAGGAATTGTGCTTTAAAATAATGGAACAATCACCAACTACAAGACCAGCTTGAGGACCACATTATAGCAACATCCTCTGAGGGATATTCACAGTAAGCTTACTGGGCTTCAGAATTCATTAAATGATGATCAAATTGAGATTCTACATTTTTGTTAGAAACATATGGAGATTATGTTTCACCCTTAAGCCCCAGGTTAGGGTGCTTCTGGCAGTACCTCCTCCCATCGAGGATACATCGAGAAAAATCAACTTAAAATAAAAATAAAAAATCGCGGGAATAAGCGGACGTTCTGGAACGTCACCCAGGGCGCGCTGGTCGGACATTCTGGAATGTCACCCGGGGCCTAAGGGTTAACATAATAAGACAACTATCTGAAACTTGTACATTTACTTAAAATTCTGTCTCGTAAAATCAGCTGCAAATTTATCAAAACCTCTAAAACCCTTGCAAATTTCCAAAGAATGTTATAATATTAAATTATCAAAATGTTACTTTCAGATAAAACCTTTTCAAAACACTAAATTGATCAACAACACAATAGCTTACTTTATATTTAATAGTGTACCCTATATATATATATATATATATATCCTCCTCACAATCCTTTCACTATTCGAGATTCAGATGTTTCTTGGGGAAACCATGTTGAGTAACCTTTGTAATGTATAGTATACATGAAGAATACTGTACTATTAAATACTTGTTCAATATTTGTTCAATCTTCTACTACAAAAAATAGGTAAGTTTCAAATTATACCTCAATGCAGCCTGTGGATGTTCTGTGGTCTAGAATTCCCATGTATCTAGCCAGCGAATTTGGTGAACAGTACTGTTCTCAAAACTTGGGTCCAGGTTGTGCATCCCATAAGCGAGTGGTGCAAACAGGTAGAAGCTGCCAATATGTAACAGGATTAAGCCTTTCTTTATCAAAAAGATAAATTCATATTATGGTCAGTGAGCAAATATAACATGGTTGATTCTAAATTGTAACTTCTTTAACTACCAAATAAGATTTAAATTCAATAATTGCAAGTAACTGAAAATAAATAAAAAAATTATGTTCAAAATAAAAAAAAAAAAAACATTTTATTCATGTATATACTATATACAAAATACTTATAAATAAATCTACACTATACTATTGTAGTACAGTATAATCATAGAAAAACAACTGGAATCTTTAATATTTGATAAAGCATTAACAACACTTTTAGCTCTTACCTGTAAATTAATATGGAGTAAAACAGACCAGTAACCCAGGGATAAACCGATGAGGACAGGTAATGAGGAACCATGTTGGGCAGTGACTCTAGCAAGTAATCCATTATAACACCTGAAGGAAACAAGAGAACTCAGGGCTATTGTACTTCAATCCATGGTTTCTAGATTTTCAAATTCTATGCCAGGGATTTCATAGCCATCTTGTGCTTTATAACATGTCTATTGTAACATACTTCAGTAGTAGTGAAACATATAAATGAACTAGAGGATGTATCCTCCTGTTCAACTACTGCTGGCTTAAAGTAATCTTTTATCTTCATTTCATAACAAGGAGGAGGAGGACAATGTACTACACATTTTCTGAAAGTGTTATTGTAATATAAACCAATAATATTCCACACAATTATAATCACTAATAATGATGAAGATGTTAGCTCAAATTAAAGCCAAGGTGAACTGTGTACTTGACCTAAGCCCCATTCTGGGACATACAGTCCATGGGCCGGATACTCAAAACACCTCATAAGTTACGTCTTTTAGCATGATACATTACCATATATTGTCGAATCTTTACAGTACCGTAAATTTAGCATACTCAAAATTTAATCACAGTTCCGTAAGCCTTTCGTAAGTTTTCATAAGTTTACCCTGTAAATTAAGTTCTCTTGTCGGAAGGTAGATGTCAGTGCAGGAGCTAGTTGGTCAATCAGCGCTCAGTTAACAAAATCATCAACCAATCACAAGAGAAGGAGAAATCAGCTGAGAGCGACGCACAATATTATTTTGTAAACATGGAAGGACCACCAGCCAAGAAGAGACGGCCTAATTTCAGTGAGGCTGAAGTATACGCTATTCTGGGCAAATTCAAATAAATTGGTTATTGATAGCATAGCCTTGCCGAACCTAAATGACAAATCACTTCTCTTAAATTACTCATTTAGCCTAGACCCTGGTGTTTTCCTTTCAATGTTGGGGACATTTGGTCTGAATTGTCTTCAAGTTCATACAAAAAACAACAATTTAAAACCTGAAAGTATATCGGATTAGTCGTAAATTTTCTTAAATTAATACTCTACCTATGATAATGTTCAAGGAAAGTCTGGAACTAGGCCTAAGGTAGCTGCTAGACAAAGTGTCTCACTGACGGCCTGACACTCGACCAAAAAACCATGTACACATTCTCTAACCTAACATACCATAACATAACCAAACCTATAACCTATTGGTATAATTTCTTATTTAAATAATCCTCATGTTCTAACTAAATTAAGTAGGCCCCACGTTTAAACATTTATTTGCCAAAGACTGAAAAAGCAGTTATATAGGCCCCTATTAATCAAGTTAATTGCAATCCATATTTTACGCCTAATATCATTTAATTTTGGCTAGCCCATGGAAATTTATAGCCTTTCATGTTATCGTAAGCCATATACATAAAAAAATAGGCTAAGGCTATTGGTTGAATATTAGAAAAACAAGGCGAAGTCTTGGCAGGAATGTTCACTTGACCTCATATTTGGTTTTCATTACTGAGGGATATTTACGGCTATACAACATTAATAAGTTCTATCCGCAAGTTTACTCGGTCATAAAACATATTTTTACCCTAAGTGTGAACAATACAAACCTTTTGTTTTGGTAAAAAATACTTTATAATTTGTAAGAAGACAAAAGATGCGTCTCTTCCAAACAGACAAATACAAACACTCAAGCCGCTTATTATACAACAAAAAAGTTACGAAAAAGACAAAGTGAAATATTATATTTCAGTATGTTGATGTACAAAACATTTTCTTCATTATTCAATGATAAAACAAGTCTAACAAGCATTATTACAACATATATTATTATTATTTTTTATACAATAGGGAATTAGTCACTACTACATCTGGGTTGAGCGTGTTACAGAGCCTCAGGGGTTGGTGTAAGTTACGCTCTTTAACTTACGGAGTTCGATGTCAAATATTTGTTTTGAGTATACCATCTGTTTCGAGTATGCCAATCTGAGACTGTAAGTCCAGTTACGGGGTACACAAAGACATTCATTCCCATAAATGTTTTTGAGTATCCGGCCCATGTGTATTATATTAACCCCTAGGCTTCAGGTCAGATCATGTCATATGACGTTTTGATACCTCGCTGGCCTATTTGAATGAAAAGGGCAGGCCTGGCTAAATTATATTGCCAAGTACTGTAGACATTTATCTTTCACTCACTCACACATCAGAGCCTCCCAGTCTCTTCTCAGCCTTTGTGATTTAAGAATCTCGTCCTTGGACTTTATTCACTTCATGTGTATACCATACCAATAAATGTGAAGAATGAAAAAAAAAATACTGTGTTGCCTTTTCGCAATTGTTTCACTCCACAAAAGACAGAACAGCCGAGAGATGCCACCGCACCCTCCCCCACTGTGTGTGCTAACTCCTGTGCACATAAATGTTTATTTCCTTTATTTTTTTTTCCTTTGGATTACTTTTGTACACATTCTGCATGAACAATTGTGTGTGCATGCAACAGAATATTAAAAAATATATACAGTATATGTGTATAAAGGTCATTAATAATTAAGGAGACACTTATCTAGACAGCAAAGAGGAGGCGCAAGCACAGCGTTCATGTTACGACATGTATAGACATGCATAAGTTACATCTTCGTCTGTTCTAATCGGTTCATTTGATTAGTTTCGATTAAGTCTTGCATTAACGATGAGCACTCCGCTTGACTTTTGTACTTTGGAAGAATAACGATCTGTTATTAGTTTTTAAATTCGGAAGGGATAAACCCAAGAGAAACTCGTCACAAAATATCACTTCAACATTTACGCAACTGCATCAGTCAAGTGAACATTTACAAGTGGGTTTGAACAATTCAAAAATGGTCGAACAACGTGTCTTACTTTCAATACCCACAATGCACAGTATGTGCAAAAAATGATTAGAAAACTGGGCTGGGAGATTTTGCCGCACCTTGCATAGGTAAGGTTAGGAGTGACGAACTTTTCAAGAGGTATAGGGAGGCGCTGGGGAAGATTAGAGATAGGGGAGGGATCCCGATAGTATGTGGTGTCTTGTCTAGAAGAGGGGTTGGTCGTGAATGGCTGTCCAGGGCAATTGCTATAAATTGCCGACTGGAAAAACATTGTGCAAACAATGGTTGGGCATTCATTGATAACTGGCTTCTATGGCAACGACTACCTGTACAGTCGCGACGGAGTACACTTGTCTCGTGAGGGGGTAAAGACGTTGTCTGCATCCCTGGAGCGTGAAATTGTCACTCCGAAGGGGGGGTTTCGCCAGTAGAGAGGGGTCGGGGAAAGTGGGAGTCAAAAAACAAGCAGGTCCTGGGAAGTAAAATTAGTTGCTCAGGACAAGGGGTAAAACAGGACCAGGGAAGGGTAGGTTTAAATGTACACTATACAAACAGTAGGAGCGTTAGAAATAAAATAGACTTGCTGAGAGCGGTTGTATGTACCGAGAATGTAGACGTCATAGCAATCACCGAAACTTGGATGAATCTGGCAAGCAAAAATTTTTTATCAGAGTACCACATAGAAGGGTACAACCTTTTTCACAAGGACAGGAAAGGGGGGAGGGGTCGCACTCTTCGTCAAGGATACATTAAAATGTTCTATTAATAATTCAATAAAGGGTAAAATAGGAACTGAGTCTGTGTGGGTAGAAATCACGGAAGGAAGAGAAAAACTAATTATGGGAGTGATTTACAGGCCCCCAAGTCTTGGCAAAGAAGCAGCTCAGCCCATATGGCAGGAAATGAGTAGGGCAGCAAAATAAAACAACCTATGCATTATGGGGGATTTCAACTTTAGAAATATTGACTGGGACAACATTGTAGGTGACTATAAATCTGAAGACTTCCTAGACGCAGTACAGGACAATTTTTTGAAACAACTAATTACAGAACCTACTAGAGGTGACAATATATTAGACCTAGTATTAACAAATAAAGAAAATATTATCAGAGATATCACAGTAGGGGAAGAACTAGGCAACAGTGATCAGAGAAATTAAGTTCACCCTAAATTGGGAAACGAAAAACAATGACAATATGGTCAGAGTCCCAAACTTTCGGTTGGCGGATTATCAGGGGTTAAGAAGGTACCTAGGTGAGGTCACTTGGGAACAGTCACGTCAGTCCCCAGTAGGAAGGGGTGAGGTCATAGATGACAACAATTGATCATGACTATAATATATTCACTAGTATACTACATAAAGCACAAGAACAAAATATACCATACAGAAAAATTAGGTCAAATAAGAATAAGCCAAGGTGGATGACCAGAAAACTTAAACATGACATAGGAATAAAGAAAAGAATATATAAGAAATTAAAGGGAGGGGAGGAGCAGCTCAGAAATAGGTATAATGAACTATCTAGGAATGTTAAGAAAAATGTAAGGAAAGCAAAGAGAGACTATGAAATCAAAATAGCAAGAGAATCCAAGGCAAATCCCAAGGGATTTTTCCAGGTATATAGGACAAAGGTCAAGGACAAAGTTGGGCCTTTAAAGTCAGGGAGGGGAGAAGTGATAAATGGCAGTAAAGAAATAAGCAAAGCATTGAACAGCTACTTCTTATCAGTTTTCACAGAAGAAATTTGCGATGAAATTCCAGAGGTGGAACTGATATTTAAGGGAAAGGAAGAAGAAAAATGAAAGAATATCACTATCAGAAAAGAGGATGTTCTTAAGAAGATAAATAAACTAAAGAAAACGAAATCCCCAGGGCCGGATGAAATTTTCCCTCGAGTCTTGAAAGAGTGTAGGGAACAGATTAGCGGACTCCTCGTAAACTTATTTACAAAATCATTAGACACTGGAGTTGTGCCAGACTTGTGGAAACAGGCAAATGTAGTACCCATATTCAAAAAGGGAGACAGAGCATCAGCATCAAATTACCGGCCGATCAGTTTGACGTCAGTAGTGGGGAAATTTCTTGAATCAATTATAGCAGATAGCATCCGATCGCATCTAGAGAAAAGCAAATTAATCTACGACTCTCAACATGGGTTTACAAAGGGAAAATCTTGTCTAACAAATCTGCTAACGTTTTTTAGGAAAGTCTTCGAGGTAGTAGATAATGACGAAAATTACGATGTTATTTACTTAGGCTTTAGCAAAGCATTTGACAGAGTACCGCATCAGAGGCTTCTGAGAAAAATTAAGGCTCATGGTATCAAGGGGAAAGTTTTAAATTGGATAAAATCATGGCTCACCGATAAAACGCAGAGGGTCAGCGTAGATAGTGTTAAATCTGAGTGGGGCCGTGTAACCAGTGGGGTTCCCCAGGGGTCAGTACTAGGCCCACTCTTGTTCATAATCTACATAAACGATCTAGATACTGGGATCAGCAGTGACATAAGCAAGTTTGCGGATGACACCAAAATAGGGCGGCAAATTAATTCAGGGCAGAATGCAAATGCATTACAGGAGGATCTAAATAAACTGCAGGGGTGGTCTGAAAAATGGCAAATGAAATTCAACACCAGCAAGTGCAGCGTACTTAATATTGGAAGAACAAATACTTATAATGTATACAGCCTTAACAACATCAACCTAGAGAAGTCGACTTGTGAAAGAGACCTAGGGGTACTTGTAAGCCCGGACCTACGGCCTAGAAAACAGTGAGTTAATGTTCGAAGTAAGGCAAACAGTGTATTGGGTTTTATATCTAGAAGTGTAAGTAACAAGAGTGCAGAGGTCTAATTGCAACTATATCTTGCGCTAGTCAGGCCACACCTCGATTATGCGGTTCAGTTCTGGTGCCCTTATTATAGAATGGATATAAATTTACTAGAGTCGGTGCAGCGAAGAATGACAAAAATGATTCCGGGACTTAGAAACCTTCCATATCAGGATAGGCTAAAACTCGTAGAAAGATGGAACAAGTGCATGGCTGTAGAGGGAGATTATGTGGAGAAATAGGAATATGATCATTAACAATAAATCATTACTTCTGCAGTTATATTCATTGGTCTGGTTACTTATTGAATAACCCTCGTATATCTGTCCGAAATTAGGAGTTGAACACTACGAGCTCACAGCTCTGCCTTACCCGCTCCAAGTGTTACTGGGTGGCGAGTCAGAGACTGGGCTACACAATTACATGCCATCTCCATGGATATTCCTCGTTATTCCTTGTACAGCGATCATTTCACTTGACAGTGGGTTTTTCAGGATTGCTTCCCCATCGTTAAACAAAGGATACCTGTACTGTACCGGATTGATATAGGTATAAGTACAAGGACAGTCACAGTAAATTATGCACAACAATGATACCAAGTCGCCATTAATGAAAAATCTGGAAAATGGAGTCTCCAACATTTCACCAGAGTAAATGATCACACTCTGGTGTCACTGCCGGACCCATAACTTATTATTTAGCTATGCTCCAGTCACCAATAATACTTATAAGAATGTTGGAAGCCTTAAAAATAAACATTAATGGATTCAGAGTTAACTACAAAAGTTAAGTTACCAAGTTATGAACTGGATACTACTGGACTGCCACAAATGCTACAATGCAAGAATTTTGGAGATTCTTAAATTATATGAGCAAATCTTACCAGTAAGCATGGAGGAAAAAAGGAGAGCTGGGAAGTAGTGGTGGAAGTAGAGGATGCGGCCCATGGCGTAGAAGGGCAGGTAGTGTAAGGCCCATGCCATCACCAGCCAGCCACAAGCTTCTAACGTCTTGTCACGACGAGCTGCACCACAACACGAGTCATGAATGTATTAGATCTTACTTCAGTCTTTTAGTGTAAAACAAGCATGTTGGAATTTGCTGATTATCAGAGGAAACGAACTGTAGTAAACAGTACAGTAAGTACCAAGTTACATAAAGAAATGAGTCATCAGAATCTGACCTAAAAAGTTTACACATTATATCTGGTTCTTAATAACAAGCTAGAGCTATACATTTATAAGTGGAGTTGTTAATCATCACTCAGGGAACTATCTAAATACTGTACAGTGTATGCAGTTTATAATTCTGCAAGGTAAAACTCCATTGTCAGTACAGTACTGTTGAATTTTATAAAAAGTAGACATGACATATGGCAAAAATACACCAACATACCTCTGTATTCTGCATCAACTACTTTTCCTCTCTGCATCATGTAAGCATGGTAGAAATAGACGAACACGAAAGCAGCCAGAACAATCAAATTGCCCCACCAGATGATGGGGTTACCAAGCAGATACACCTTGAAGCCATCAATGGCCGAAAACCATTGTCCCTAAACAGAGTAACATGACAAACATCACATACACAAATTCTGGACAGTCAAACACAATCAATTAAAATTTTGTGTAACATACCAACAGACATGTGGTGATCTTCCATGAAGAATACTGCATTTCCAATTAAAAGGGATCTGCATAACACTTACCTTACGGAATTAGCTTACTTGCTCCTCAGCAACAGGAAGTATACAGAAATTTCTATTTGAAGTACAAGCTTTCTCAGATTTAAAAGTAAATGTAAAACCATTTTACAACAACCAATAATGGTTCTGATGAACACTTGTCAGATTGAAATGAATATTCAATTAATAAAATGGTGCAGAAAAATCACACTGACGAGACAGGTCAAGACATCACAAGTGCAAAAACAGTATACGTACCACTATCTAGAAAACATTCTAAAGGACAAAATCATACATAAATTATAAAAAAAGCAAAGTTCAGCATGCACTGCAGGATTATTCTGTACAAACCAATTACCTCTAACACCTGGAGTAATGTAAAAGCCCCTTTTATTTTGGAAAGAATCCCATGTGTAGAGAGAGAAGTATAGTACCAAAGCCAGAAGGTTGCCCCAGAATACTACTGGGTTTCCTAGAAGGTAAATCCGAGGATTCCCACCAGAGAAATGCTGTCCCTAAAATTCAATCAAAAGAAATAGGTTATTATATGCCATTTTAAATGAACTGCTGAACCTGCATTCCTACAATAAACTATGCATCTAGGCACGCTTATAAAGTTTATTGTACAATATTAAAATTAGCCAGTAGTTAACTTTTTATGAAATCTAATGCTACTGAACAAACCAAAGGCTTTATAATATTTTTTTCTGAGAAGGTTGGCAATTTTCCTGGCATGAAAGTTATGTACTGTAGTCAAGAATGAAGATGAAACTGTACACTCTCATCAGTAACAGCACAATTTATGCAAATTAATTAACCGAGGACCTTTAATGTACCTGGAGAACTCTCCCGATATAATTTTTTTTCCATTGCCCCACATAATGTTTAAAGACCTATGCTCAATATCATTGTTTATTTCAACCTAAGATGAAGCTAGGTATGTATCTGTAACTTTCTTACCAGTCTAGTGCTACATTGTGAAAATAAGCAGACCAGAAAATGTTACAGTTTGCATTAACTTCAATCGAGGATGTTATATTCTTAACATTAGCAACCCAATAAATAAAATACAAAGGCCATTATACAGGGTGTCCTCACAAAGTCACCTCAACGAGCATTTTTTCATTAAAGTGTTGGTCATGAATTAAGTCCCATATCCATATAAAGTAAAGTTGTGTAGTGTTCAATGGTTTTCGTCATGGCCAACGTTACACGTTCCTGAACAATGCTGGGATTAGTTTTAAGTACTTTTTATTTTAATTACAGAAAACTATGAATTATTTTCTCAAAATTCTTTACAAATTGGTTATGAGGGCAAAAATACTGTAGGAACTTAAAAAATAGGATGTCAACACATCATATACCTGTTCCCAGTGTTTTCTTTAGTGGTTCTCGGGTGGAGGTAAATTTCAAGTCGACATTTCTTCATTTGTCCATCACCCACCTGTCATGCCTCTATGCACACATTACAACAACTTTTTCTTATTTTTAGACTCAAATTTGGTATTAATAGATAAGTTATATCATTTGGAAGTACAGTATTTAAATTGTTCAACTTATTTACTACTGTACTTCAAAGTATAGAAGGTCTTTAAAATTTCAGTACTGAATACTACAATGACTTTTGGCTGGCAAAAATTAATATGAAGTAAATAAAATAAATAAAAAATCCCTCAAACCTAACTCCTCCCATTTCTATCATATAATTCTCTGGGGAATAAATGATCCGTTTATTGTCATTTTAGTGAGTTACATTTTCAAAGAACAGAATCCCAGTGTTAAACAAGGACACCCTGTACAGTATGATTTAATTTACACTACAAAGCAAATTATTCAAACCGTACAGGTTGTACCTCTCTAGTCCGGCAAACTCGGGACCTGACCGGTACGGGACCATGGAAATTCACCCTTTTCCTGGATAGATAGTTACTTGTGCATACACTTGGAAGCACTAGCACCACTTTCACTGCTTCGTGGTCTCTTTGAAGATATATTGAAGGGTTAAATGTTGTACAGTAGGTTCTCAAATTTCGAGTTTTTAATTCAACGTTTTTTATTTAGGCAAAAAAAAAAAAACTGCACAATTTAAAATTTTGATGGCGGAAACTTGAATTTCGATGGGTTTGAGAGGCCCGCCAACGTTCAGATATGTACAATTGTGTAAACAGTGTTATTTCTCTATGTACAAAACATTAATTATTGTTTATTACTGAATGTCTTTTTGATTGAATTAATGTTTGTGTGCAAAATTAACAATACAATTCATTAATAATACGTAGAATATTAAAACACACGAGGAGACATGACAGCATTGTTTTCGTTGTTTACAAAACCAGTGACTGACTGGTTCTACATATAAAACGTAAGAAAATAAGACCCTGGTTGTAGCTGTAGTAAAATTAATATGGTTGTTTTAAGTAATGTTATTTAATGTTAATAAATGGAACAATGGAAGTAGCTAACCATTAATGGTAAAACAAAAAGAGATTGCATATGTAAGTGCGCTCACGTGAAAACATATCGTCATTACTTAACATAAGAATATGAAAGCAACACTTATTTACTGTTCATATATGTTTTAATTAATGTTTTTAATTTTTTATTGAATTAATGTTTATGTGTGCAAAATGAATAATACAATTCATGAATAATACGTGGAATATTCAAACACGAGGATACGAGACCGTATTGTTTTCGTTAATGTTTACAAAACCAGTGACTGATTGGTTCTACATATAAAACTGAATAAAATAAGACCCTGGTTGTAGCTGTAGTAAAATTTATATGGTTGTTTTAAGTAATGTTATTTAATGTTATTAAATGGAAGTAGCTAACCATTAATGGTAAAAAAAAAGTGAGATCGCGTATGTAAGTGCGCACATGTGAAAACATATCGTCGTTACTCTACATACGAATATGAAAGCAACACTTATTTACTGCTCATATATATTTTAATTGATGTTTCTGAATTTAAAACAAAAATTCTACCCACCAGTGGTGGTAAAGTTGAAAACATAAGGACAGCCAATGTTGTTGTGTGTGTTTTTACTCGGAAGACGAAGTTGCCAAGCTATCAGGTTCAACTCTAACAAAAGCTGTAGAACATGAGAACTTTTCTGTGTTGTTTTTAGTTTTTATTTAACTTTATCGGTGTTATTTCCGTTGGTTTATTAGGATGTTGCTTTATTACAGGTAGTAATTCGCCAAAAAAGTAGGGTAAATAAGGCCAAATTTAGCCAAACATCAAAAGTACCAGACTCAAATTAATTTTCTCCATGGGCAAACTAAAATCGTTCCGGGCCACAGAATGCCGGACTAGAGAGGTACAACCTGTACTAAACATTCTTACTTTACTGGTATATGTACACACCTTGAAGTTTATTGGCCACTGCCAGGGTTGAGAAGTTATTTCTCCTTCTTTGGGTTTGAGGCCAGAGTTACCCTGGAACATGACGGTGTGCGACTCGAGAAACTTCTCTATGAAGTGTGGTGCATAGATCGCAAAGCTGGAGTTGGGCACTGTAGACACAAAAATGAGTAAGATATTAGTTAAGTTATATATGTAGTGTACAGGTAGTCATTAATCTTTTAATTCACCTGTAGTACTAAGAGTTGTGTTATGAATATAAATGCCCTCAATGACTGCTACATGTGCTATACTACTAAAGCATACACAACAACAGTGGCAAGCTTTATTTTTATTATTTTTTTTACTCACTTCAAACCGATAGAATTTTCTATAAAAACTGTAGATCCCTCAGAGTATACTTTCAAAATATTTCTCCACACCCTCCATGATGCCCGACATACATATCTATTGTATACAGTATGGTACAACTGCCAAATTTTAATTAAATCCACCGATTACTGTAGATGGCATGATAACCATTAAGTACGAGTATATACCCTAATCATTACAGAGGTAATTTTCCCTAGACAACATGTTTGCTTCCTTACACCCAGTGGGAACACAGGCCGAGTTCTCTCCAAACATTATGAACATCTCTACTCATTGTCAAATCATCCATCAATCTGAATATTTTAGCTTTCAAGTCTACATACTGGTCTGGCCATCACATCTGGATTTGTCATCATCCCTGACATATGATGCATTACAGGGAAATTTAAAGAACACTCACATTTGGGGAACACATTGTCTTCAATATTCCACAAGTTGTTTGGGTCATGCACATTTGGGTTACAGGTGACTTCCATCTGCTCATAGCCCCTGTAGTAAAAAATCAGTTATAAGTTCTAAATCAGTTGAAAGTTTCAGAACACAATGCTGTACTAACAAGGAAACCATTACCCTTCATGTTTAAGAATTAAAATTATTTATTCTTCAGGACTTTTTAAAACATGCAAATACTTGGGAGAAAAAACACAAGTAAATTTTTACCATTTTGGCAACTGCTTATTGTGTGACATGAGAGCACATCCAACCAGATAGTGTACAAATCTGATCTTGTGAACTACTGCCTTTGCCATTTCCTCCTCCTCGCCATTTACTATCTCAACACGCCACACATCATTGACATCTCCAATACCATTCTGAAATGTAAGTGGCACCATAGTTAGTGAATATATTTCATGCTACTAACCACTATCAACAGGGGTTATTTCCTTCACTTAAAAAGGGTAATTAGATTGTCTCTGTTTAAGATCACCAATGTTATATTCCACAGCTTAAACTTCAACATATTATTCTACTATTGCTTTTTATAACATTTTCAGTGGCTTGTGATGATTAAAATACACAAAACAAAATTTTCATATTCTGATCCTACCTCAAGAAATATGACACCCATTAAATAAAAGGGCATTATAGATTAGTACACTCTTTCTACTTCAGTGACATGTAACATGAGAATAAATATTCCAATTAATTAACCTTTCACCTCGCAAACGAAGTGCCAAAGGTCGAGTGGTGGACTTGGTTCCTTCCTTACATGCTCAACAATGATTATACTAACCCATGTTAATAATCAGGGCATTAGCAGCTGTTCAGCCACCTTTCATCAAAATAGGAAAAAGAATTACGTAGAAGTACAAAAAACTCTATAGAGCACCTTATGAGCTCCTCAACTAAATTGAAAATATGAAACCACTACACAAGTCTCCAACTCAATATATATCCTGTAGATCTTTAAGATTTACTAACAATTTACTTACTTCACCATATCCAGTCACTTGGTGATGCCTCTTGGTAACAGGCGCCTGCTCACGGTGTGAGTGAAGGTTTCTACCAGTAGGGACGTGTTCAAGACGAATAAGGTCTCCATTCTTAACCAGTTCTATAGGTTCATCATCTTCCCAATCGCCAGGCTCTTCATTCCATTTCTTCACAAGCCTACAAGGACAGCACACTGCTTACAGCAAATAATACTCTCTATTTTTTTCTTAAGCAAACAATGGTTTAAGTAACTAAAAACTAATCCAATATTTTCCAAATCCAAGTGTTTAGCAATTTTAACTACAGTACAGTGTATAATGTCCTAAGTTGCAGGTTACATGGGGCTCATCCTAACCCACCCATGTGCACTGTGGCCCCAACCCTATAGGTTATGTTGAGTCTCAAATTGTGGCCAATGTGACCTGTAATGTATTCTTCCCATACATTTGGAAGTTTGTTTATCACTACTTTACAAATTTTGTATTAGTAGTTTCCTATCTGCTTATTTTCTTCAGGAAAGTAAGTTTAATCTCTCTTCATGTTGTGGTTTGGAATAAGGAAATCTTTGCTATACAGTATTTGTACGAAAAACTAAAGACAACAGAAATGTCTTAATTTTTAAGAAGACAGTAAGTCAGTGAAGTCTAGAAATGGTAATAATTGTTAACCTGTACTACTGGAGGCTGGGGTTAAAATTACAAATTTCAAAATAATTACCATCCCTAAGATATTACAATACAAACAAATGAGGTTGATATACAGTATACAAGCACAAGTCACTGCTGTACAATGATAGACTAATACTCATTCTTGAATTTACAGCAATACAATACTGTAATTATCAAAATCCTTATAACTTACCATTTGTTATTAAAATCTTTGTGAGAATAGGTTGTTATCTGCTGCTGCCGGGCTCCTGCACCTTCAGGATACAAGTGGATATGAGAATGTAAATATCCACCACCCGTTCTGGCATTTTTCAGTGACACTTCTGCTCCATATGCAACTTCTGCAGTGAGAAAAATGTGCATATAACTAAAATAATAAATAGAGTTCAGTACAGTTATCATATACAATACTGTACAGTACAATAGTTATTTCCACAAATTCAGGATATATATTTTTATTTGGTTGTTGCTCATCTTTTTTCTTACAATTTTCGATACTTATCAGCTTACTAGTCGCTCTGGCAGTTAGCACAGAAGGAATCTGGGAAACCTGTGACATTTGGTAGTGAGGGTCACACTGTATAAAACCCTTCTCGTGTGTCCGGGCCGAGGATCGAACCCTTGACATAATGGGAAGAGATACGTGCATTACCACTGTACCACTTAACCTTTTTAACTTGAGGAAGGAAACTCACCGAGTGGCATACTGGCATTGAACAGAGAGTTGCCCTCCAATTGTGACTGGAATGCCGAGCTATAGAAACCATCGCCATTGCCACTGAAAAGTTAAAGATAGATATTTAGTAAGGGACTACAAAGGGCACAACATAATATTTGGCTATTTTATTTACCAATTGAGGATTTGAACCTGTACTGGTGATTATTTCTAATTGTCTATCTTTTTTCTATTTCATTATGTAATTGTCCTGCACTACTCCCCCCTACACCCATCTTTGTAAGTTTCTGAAGTTTTTGATCTTTAAACATAAAAGTGGGAGTAGTGAAGATAACGGACAGATAGGCAATATGCATTTGATAAACCAACCTCTGTTATCCACAAGGAATCTCTTACAAAACTGGTTCAGATCTATTAATTCAGGACATTCTTGTTGAATTGGCAGTAATCATTTCAAACATACAAAAATAATTGACAATGATTTCAAATTATATAACAAGCCTAACTATACTTGGCTATTAACAGTTACCTTTTACACAAGACTGTCAGGTGAATGTAGAAGTAGACGCAGTAGAGAACTATTGGCAGGACAATGAGACCCAGAGCCCGGGCTAAGAAGTGTTTAGCCACATACGACTGGAATGAAAATATAGTTTATCAATAACCATACAGTACGGCATACCAATTATGCTGAACCCTTAAAGCCTCAAATATGAATCCATCTGTCCCAAGTTGTGAATAAATAGTATACTCCTAACTAAGGATTTCTTCCATGAACTTTGGTAAGAATCTGCAAGACAGCAATTTTAGAAGACTAAGAGATGTTTTAATAAAGGGCTTTGCTATCCTCAATCTAAGTCACTGAACAGTCTAAAGTATATAGTACATAACTTATTTTACAGTTTACCCAAGAAGAGCCAACAATAAAAATGTAAATTACCAAAAACAGGATTGTAAACTTACCAATGGGTTGCTGAGATCACCATAGAGGTCCCACAGGTTTTTGATAGTGTGCAAACCTACGTAGAGAACCACAAAAAGGCCAACAAACTTTGTTGACACAGAGCCTGATAACATGAACCCGGTGAAGCAGAGCCAAAACCACCAAGAAACACCGAAGGGCCTGTGGGTTAAAACATTGATGCCATTTAAAACCCATAATAATGTCACATATAATCATACAATGAGTTAAGTGTGAATGACCTCATACAGAACTTTATATATAATAGAGATAACTAACAGATTTAGGACTCAGGAAGTTAAATGATGAAGGGATATATTGAATGAAGAATCATGAGAGATGTATGAAGATCAAGTGATATGGAAGAACCATTACAAAATTAATTATAACACTGGACATGCAAGATTAAAATAGAGAAATCAATATTAACCCTTGAAGCTTTTGGTCAGTTGGTCAAAACTTAATCTCTTGTTGGGTGAAAGTGCATGCATACATACATACATACATACATATATATATATATACTGTAAAGATACTCCTCGACTTACGACATACTCGACCTACGACGACCCGCACTTACGACCTGCCTCAGTCGGCACGACCACCTGCACATACGACCTCCGCAGTCAGTGCCAAATTTTTTCAAATGACGCACGTAGTTTCTATACCGAAACGTATCGGCCCGTACAAGAGCCTCGCGTGGGCTGGGTCGCGCCGCCTCATGGATACAGCACCCAAGCCGTAAAGCGTTTAATTGGTGTTTGGCTGTCGTTGTTCTCGCAACGAATCACGCTGTGTACCGACATTATTTTCGTATCTAATTCACTTTAGAGTGACTGGCAAGCGTACAAGTGAGAGTGCTGGTGGTGCTCAGAAGAAAAGGAGACATTAAATTACTTTTGACACGAAAATGAAGATAATAATGCAGTATGAAAATGGAAAAACGATAGCAACCATTTCACGCAACCAAGGCTTCTCGCACTCAACCATATCTACTATTTTGAAGGACAAGGAACGTATTCGTGAGGTAGTGAAAGGATCAGCACCTATTAAGGGAACTATAATAACGAAGAAAAGACAAGGTCCTATTCATGAAGGAAAAATTTTCTTAGGATATGGATGGAAGACAGATACAAAAGCATGTACCCTTAAGCCTTCTAACCCTACAGGCTAAGGCAAGAAGCCATTTCGAAAGCCTGAAGGAGCAGGCAGGAGATGAGTGCAACCAAACCTTCACAGCAAGTCATGGGTGGTTCCAAAGGTTTAAGAACTGCTACAGTTTACATAGTATAAAGGTGAGTGGAGAGGCAGCAAGTGCTGATGTTGGTACTGCTGAAGCTTTTAAGGAGGAGCTAGATCGTGTCATTGTGGAGGGAAATTATTTGCCTGAGCAAATATTCAATATGGATGAAATTGGCTTATTATGGAAGCGCATGCCTGAACTGACATACATCCACAAAGAGGCGAAAACAATGCCAGGATTCAAGGCATTCAAGGACCGAATTACACTTCTGTTGGGGGGAATGTAGCTGGTTTCAAGATAAAGCCCTTCACATTATATCATTCAGAGAACCCAAGGGCTTTTAAACATGTCAGCAAGCACACACTGCCAGTGTTTTATCGAAGTAACAAGAAAGCATGGATGACCCTAGTACTGTTTGAGGATTGGTTCATGACTTGTTTCATTCCACGAGCCAAGGATTATTGCCTGCAACAAGGGATTGCATTTAAGATTTTGTTAATTTTGGATAATGCTACGGGACACCCACCACACCTGGACGACATGCACCCTGATGTTAAGGCAGTCTACATTCCACCTAACACTATCTCTATCATCCAACACATGGATCAAGGTGCTATTACAGCTTTTAAAGCTAATTATTTATGAACGACCTTTGCTCAGGCTGTTGCTGCTACTGAAGGTGAGAAAACAATCAGAGTTTTGGAAGGAGTACAACATTTTGAAATGCATAAAGAACATAGCTGCAGCATGGGATGAGGTTACAGGTCAGTGCATGAATGGAATATGGAAGAAGGTCCTGAAAAGATGTGAACAGTTTCAGAGGATTTAATGAAGATGAAGTAATTTCTCAGATTAGTAACAAGATAGTTTAGTTGGGTAAACAGCTTGAGTTAGAAATTGATAATGAAGATGTTGAGCAGTTGGTTGAAAGTGTAGCAGAAGTGCTAAGTAACGAGGATCTTATCGAACTGGAAGCACAGAAAAATGCAGAGGAAGAAGAGTCTAAATGTAGAAGAAGAACCTGCACCCCCCAAAATTTTTACAGTGAAGCAAATGGCAGAGGCATTTGCTACATTTAATAAGGGGATGCAAATGTTTGACGGAATGGATCAAAATGTTGAGCGTTTTGCCAAAGTTGACAGAATGGTCCACGATGCACTTGCTTGCTACAGGGAAATTTATAATGAAAAGAAAAAGCAAACTGTGCAGTCTAAATTGGACATATATTTTAAGAAGTCCCCCTTTGCTGTCTCCTCACGCCCCACCAGTGCTGCCTCTTCACTCCCAAAAGATGATCCAATACCTTCAACCAGCAAGTTTCCCCTGTATATTAACCTGTCTGAAGAAAGCGACATTGATGACCCACCCAGCCCTGTCTCCACCTCTGCTTCATCCAATTAATGTAGTCTCCATGTATAATTAGAAAATTATGGGGGCCCCGTGTGCATTCAGCTGACTACATTAAAGGTAAGTGCAGTCACACTGTATCCATTCTTCATTATTGATTACTTTTACTGTACTGTATTTCATTTTAGATTTTCTATGTATTATTTTTTTGCATTTTCGACTTATGACCTGGATTTGTGTTCCTAACCCTGTCGTAAGTCGGGTAGCAGCTGTATATACAGGGTATATGCATCAATAGATATGGTTTAGTTAACGAAAATTATTTTGACAGCTCTGGCACCTTAAAAATTGGCACTGCAACACTGGTTATAATGACCCCAATTTGCAATATTTTGACTTCCAGTGGGTTTTCCAGGAACATAACCCCACCGTACAGCAATGGGGTTTCAAACCACCAAGTCCGAAAATAATTTAATCATACTGTATTTGTATTTTTGTACAAACTAACCTTTTCCATGTACTCTTGGACATTTTCACAAGATTTTCAAGACTGATAAATTAACTACCGTAGTCATTACAAACATTTGTCCAATTCAGTACTGTATACAGTACTGTACTTAACCTTTAGAAAATCATACCAAAATATACTTACTTTTTTTGTTGGCCGTGGAACTTCACTATGCCAACCACAGAGCCCATGATGAAGAAGAGGAGAATGGGATCCAGCAAGATGTACTGTGTTAGGGTCAATAACCCCACATCTGTCAAACATGTCAAATTCAGATTAAATCCTTGCTAATAAAATATTTCAAACACAAAAGCTGAGGACTTCAACTAAAGTGAACAGAATATTTCTCCGTTTTGAACATTTCTTCTCATTCTCTACATTTGCCCTCCAAAACTCTCCCAGTATTTTTCCCTTCGAGGTTTCTGTATATCTTCTACATACATAACGGCCAGTTGCCAAAACACTTACCAAAGAGAATAAGTGAAGATGATAAGGTGGCAGCTGGGAGTGAGAAGGTCATCTCCCATACAATTATGAAGGCAAATGGCACCAAGCAGGCTCCCATTGCGGTACAACACTGTAAATCATACATAATTACATTTACTGCATGTTCATACAAAAAATAATACTGTGCTTTGGTTAATAATAGCATTCACCTTTCTAGAATATATACAAGGATATGCACAATTCTGAAAGCTCAACACACAACAAGACCTACTACTAACCACTCTCATGCCCAAATAATTGACGCCCTCATAAGAGTCCCCAGGCTTGACAAATGGGAAGGTGCCATCATATCCAGTCAAGTAACCAAAGGCTCCAATCAGCATCTAGAGGAAGACATTTTAATCAATACTAACATCCCTTGAGAAAAAATGCTCACATAATCATATAGCCATTCAAGCTTTGTGGATCTTACATTTTATATTTGGTACAGATATCCCTTGTTTAACGACTGGGACGAGTTCCTGAAAAGCCGGTTGTTAAGTGAATTGATTGCTAAATGACGGATAAAAAATAAATCCCCAAAAAGGGTAATGAGGAATAATATCCATAAAGTTGGCATGTAAATGCGTAGCCGAGTCGTCTACACATAGCACTCATGGTGGGGGAGGCGGAGCTGTGAACCATTATTTTTCAACTCTTAATTTCTTGTAAATATACATACATAATTTTTTTTATTTTCTTTTATGGTTCCATGTACTGTACACACAATCGTTCATACAGTATGTGGAAATTTATTTTAATTAATTATCATAAGGTCCCAAACAAAGATAATTTTTATTACATGCTCAGCAGCTAGCCCACAAGAATGAGGGAGGGGAGTGACATGGGGGAGGGTCCCATGAAAGGACTGCCAAATGGCAGCATAAAGTTTTTCTTTATTTGTCATTATTGTTTTTATTTATTCCCCACATTAACTGTTACAGTATACACATGGCAGTTCATTCGGGTAGTCACCAAGCTGACTCAAATGACGTGTGTGGCTGCTTTCTGTATGCCGTGATATCACATAAGGGGTGGAAGGGGTTGTGTGGCTGGCCAGTTACAGCTCACTGTCTCAATACACATGTTCACTACCCATGTATACACACCTATGCTCTTTTTATTATTGTTTAGTTTCATATCTATAGTATACAGTACAGGTGCTCCTCTACTTAATGTTCAACTTACAAACTTTCAGAGATACAAACATCATCAATGAGGGGGGGGGGGTGTTACCTGCCAAAACAGGTGTTTAATGTGGATGACTGGATTATTTTGAAGAAAATTCCAGATAGAACAAACATTACCTATGAGGAGAAGAGTGAACCAGGTTTTAAGGCTATATTAAAGGGTATAGCTGTACTAAATATCCATGATCCTTTCATTTTTTACAATATGTTTGGTATCTACAAGAGTAAAGTTGGACTTCCAAACAACCCTCAGGAACGTAACTCATTCGTGGGTAGAGGAGCACCTGTACAGTATTTTCTTTATTTCTATGTCACATTACAGTACTGTACTATATTTTAATGCACACTTGGAGCACAGAATCCCCAGTTTTACCAACTTCCCTCCCGAATTTTTTCCAGCGAGTCCAAGATCGCTAAATCGAAAAATGACAATTGATAAATAGCAAAGGGAGTTATACATTTTAAATCGCAAAACCGAAAAATTGCCAAGTGAACGATCAATAACAAAGGGATACCTGTACCCAGTAGTGTACCATTTTACCAACCACAATGCATTACTGCAATATCCACTTTTAAGTGTCTGTAGGTACCCAATAGAAATAAGTCGTGTACAGTTCTGGTCAATTTTGAAAGTCCTGAACCCTCTCCTCCATTTCTATCAAAATTTTTAAACAGATGTATCAATTGTAATGCTGTGTAATACTGCACAAGTTCAGTTCAACATTCTGTATTTACCTTTCCCAGAGGAGGGTGAACATCAAAGAAGAATGTTCGATTGATGTACCAACTACCAAACTTGCCGAAGTGAGTTTCATCCCACCTGTTGAAACAAATGAATCGGAAATCAAAGAACATACATAACATACACCAAAAAGCATCAATTAACACTAAGCACAGCCATAACATATACAAAAAATGTATCATTTCGTCAAAAGCACACAACCACCTTTGCACCAAAATTTGCCTTCTTAAGTACAACCCGTTAGGGCTTTAAAAGATAAAAAATGTAAATAAAATTGCATTGCCATAAACTACAAGCTATTAGATGTTCTAGTTTATGCTTCAGAATTAAAAAATATAAACAATCCACTTAACTTCCATCTTCCAAAAGTTTCAACCACTGACCAGAACAGCAAACTTGTACATTACAGTACTGTATTTTTTTTACCTACTGTACTTGCATCTTTGTTGCATTTAAATATTACATTATGTAAAAACTGGCAAGAGTTGCTTCTGCTTGTCATTGCTGAACACTAGCAAAAAATGACATGAGAAAGTATAAACAGTACTCATGAACAGGGTAATATTCTTTCACTTAACATGTTGTATATCTATGATTTATTTATTAGATTTCTATCTAAATACCACTAACAATTAATTAATTACATCAATCTACATATACCACTTCCTGCAAAATATCAGTTTCAGCATTACATGTACAAATTCGGATTTTGCCACATCAGAATCTCTCATGACACTACAATGACTTGCAACAACAGTTACCTACTTCCTGCCTGTTACAATACAGCGCTCAGCAAAATACAGTACAGTATTCTTAGTGTTCATCCAAGCCAAATAGAACAAATAAGCATTTACCTTTACAACAGATATGCAAAAAGTAAAAAAACTCACATCAATTGATAATACCAGGAAGGTTCTCAATAACAGGGTTGAGGGCAGTGTGCCACAGCTACAAAGTGAAAGCGAAGATGTGCTGTGTCAGACCCGTGATATTTATCCACTGACTAACACTAACCATCCACTCCTCTTGTATTTAGCTCTCTCCAAATACCACCAACAAAGTTTTATCTCGCTAATATAATTCAAAGATACGGTACTGTCACCATAGATATTTCCATATTTACAATACAGTGCTTTGATGTTGAGGTCCCATTCCCAGTTTGTATAATTTTGGAGTACTGTACAGTACAATACTAAACCTAAGAGGATTCCTTCTCAAATTGTGTAGCTACACAAAAGTGTATTCAAGAGAATACACAGGATACTATGAATGTATAAAACTCTTTCCTGAAAATGAGATTAGATTCCATAAAAAAATATTTTGCATCAGTGGTGAAGAGGATAAAAGTAAAGTAAAAGTAGATACAGTACCTGTACTGTATGGTATTTACAATAAGGTATTTATTAATATTTTCTTTTCAGCTTAAAACATGCGATACTTACACAACATGCTCTGGTTGTCCCACATTGTAGAACCTTGTGGCAGCAGCAAGCAAGCAGACCACACCAAACACAGCCCACCATATATGAGGGGAGTCGCAGCGTCTGTAAAGACAAAGAAATACCAGTATTGAAACTTAATACTGTACTGTACAGTCCAGTATAACTGGACAAAAATACCCTACAATTTACTAATTCCCCACTTAGTCTCAACTCTACACAATAGAAAATTATAAATAATTTTATGCACCATACAGTACCTGAATTACCCTTTTAAACCCCTTTGAGCACTCCACAATAAAAGTGAAGCTTCTCAGGCAACATACAGAGTTTTCCAGAACATGACTCAAAATTTCCCTTGAAATTGGTTTTGCACAGTTGGAAAAATTTATCACTATATATATATATATATATATATATATATATATATATATATATATATATATATATATATATATATATATATATATATATATATATATATATATATATATATATATATATATATATATTCTTGATTTGTCCTTGAGAGGCAACAGTTATGCTACAGTGATCCAAGCACAGTAATCTACAGTCCTTGAGTGACAACAATAATGATGCAATGATCTAAACAATCTCAGGTGCAACCAAATACTGTACAGATTTTTATATCTGCGTGTGTGTGTGTGTGTACTGTACTGTCTACCTATAGCCACCTATCACACTTGCTTCAGTGCTGTACTAGCTGGCTATGTGGGTCAACTCATGAGGTGTGTTTATTTAACACAGACTGGTTGGCAACATATGGTTGCATTATTTTATACAGAAGGTGGATGCGACAGATACAGTATGTCCAATTAATAAATGAATGCTCTTCAAAAATACACATTTGAGATGACTTTCAAATTCAAAATATGAAGTCCAAAGTGACACTAAAACCTTAATTTGTAACAGCACAATGTCTGTTACTGATGAGATTAGAGACTGGGCAAGCAGACGATATGCACCAACCAAACTTAAACAGATTTTTTGGGGTAATCTGAGACATTTCAACTACTGTATCACGCAGGCCACGTGCTTGAACATGAAGGGGAATACTGTACTGTATCAATTGATTAAAGCTTGTAACGTAGCCAGTACTTTCATACCAAAACATAAGAACTGGTTTTGCACAATTTGCATAGTAACTCTGGTCAGGCTACACTTAAAGTTGAGAAGGTTGTTAGGTTAGGCCATGTTGGGTTGATGCCACTAAAGACAGGAATCACATATCAACTTCAGTCATCCACTGATTTTTCACACACACCATGACGAATAGCACCTTGGGTTTATCTATCCAAGAGTGCCAGACCAATATAACCATTAAAGTTATGCATTTGTCCAAGTGTCGTATGATAGCCAATGACAAATTAATACTGAAGCCGAGATGGTTTGAGCATGTGAATAGAATAGATGATATGCAAGAGATTAAATGTAGAGGGGAGGAAAGCTATAGGTAGGCCAAGAATGGCACGAGGAGAGGTAAGAAATGACAAAGAGTTAGGAATCTGGCGAGAGACAACAGGAGACCGGGGTCCGACTTATTACCCAAATGTACCCAAATGTAGTCGCAATGAAGTCAGATGATGGTCCTACAAGCGTAAATCGGACTGCCAATCACTTCTCGACTAGTATTTGGTGTCACGAAGTCACAAAAAATTGGTAAACTTAATTTAATCTGAGTTAATGGATCGAGTGCATGTACCTAACCTAACACAACTCAGATTAAATTAAGTTTACCAATTTTTTGTGACTTTATGACACCAAATAATAATCGAGAAGTGATTCACAGCCCCATTTACGCTTGTAGGACCATCATCTGACTTCATTGCGACTACATTTGGGTACATTTGGGTAATTACTCGGTCCCTCGGTACATGCACGCGATCTATTAACTCAGATTAAAGCAAGTTTTCCAATTTTTTTTTACTTTGTGACACCAAATACTAGTCGAGAAGTGATTGGCAGTCCGATTTATTCATGTAGGACCATTATTTGACTTAATTGTGGCTACATTTGGGTAATTAGTCGGACCGGGAGACCGTGCAACATGGACAGCTGACATCAGGTAGCCTACAAAGACATGGAAAATGGCCATAGAATGCCAATGATATTAACACTAACCTAATCTACTGAACCTAAAAACAAATCAACATAACATAACCTATCCTATTAAAGCCAACCAGCCAAACCTGAAATGTTGAAGAACGCCATATCTAAAACACGAAGGATTTGCACAAGACCAGTGCTGTGGTCTTTAATTATATAAAAAAAAAAACTGTCTCGTTGTTGGGTCGAAGAGCCTGTGTTTTCCGAGTATTAGCCAAAATATTCCTTATTCAGACAAAAGAAAAGCACAAGCATGGCTGAACGACTCTAGCATGAGGAAGAAAAAGAGTCCTTCAAGGATACTCAACCAAGCTCCACCCCGGGTCCGACTAATTACCCAAATGTAGCCACAATGAAGTCAAATAATGGTCCTACATGAATAAATCGGGTTACCAATCACTTCTCGACTAGTATTTAGTGTCACAAAGTAAAAAAAAATTGGAAAACGTAATTTAATTATAGTTAATAGATCGAGTGCATGTACCTAACCTAACCTAACCTCGACTAGTATTTGGTGTCACAAAGTCACATAAATTGGTAAATTTAATTTAATCTGAGTTAATAGATCAAGTGCATGTACCTAACCTAATCTAATCTAATCTAACCTAACCTCTTTGACAGTTTAAAGAGGCAGCTGAGAGAGGGGGTGTCGCACTTGGCCGTGAACCTGACAGATGGCACCGACCTGATAACGAGATCTGAGATTGCTGAGTTCCACGACAATTTAAATAGTGAGTTACTTAATGCACAAAGGCAGAACATACCATACAAAAAACTCAGATCAGACAACAATGACCCTAAACGGATAAATAATTATTTAAAGAACATCATTGGCCAAAGGAAGGCTATAGGTAGAAGGATAAATCGTGGCGAAATTCACCTCCGGGACTATTATAGGGTATTGGCGAGTAGGGTTAAAACCGAGATAAGGAAAGCAAAGAGGAATAATGAGGTAATGATAGCAAGGGAGGCAAAGACAAACCCCAAAGGATTCTACCAAATGTATCAAACTAAAACACGAGAAAAGATTGGACCAATACGGTCAGACTCCGGCGAGCTCACTGATAACGATGGAGAAATGAGCAATAATTTGAATAAATATTTTTCAACAGTTTTCACCACCGAAAATTTAAACATGATACCCGAGGCACCGACTCTATTCAGAGATAGTGAAGAAAACAAATTAAGTGAGATAGTAGTGACTAGTAACGATGTTAGTAAGCAAATAGACAAATTAAAGCCTAATAAGTCACCTGGTCCCGATGAGATATTTGCCAGAGTATTAAAGGAATGTAAGGAAGAGCTTAGTATGCCCTTAGCAAAGTTGTTTAACATGTCCTTAAAAACAGGTGTAGTACCAGAATCCTGGAGGATAGCGAATGTAATACCGATTTTCAAGAAGGGGGATAGATCACTATCCTCTAACTACCGCCCAATCAGTCTAACATCAATAGTAGGCAAATTACTGGAAGCAATCATTTCAAACTCTATTCGAAATCACCTGGAGAAGCGCCGATTGATCAATGATTCCCAGCATGGCTTCACAAGCAGACGTTCTTGCCTAACTAATCTATTAACATTCTTTTCATCAGTTTTCGAATCGGTGGACGAGGGGCACAATTATGATGTGGTATATCTCGACTTTAGTAAAGCCTTCGACAGAGTCCCCACGAAAGACTAATTAGAAAGGTAGAAGCTCATGGCATCAAAGGTGACATCCTTAAATGGATTAGGGCATGGTTACAGGACAGGAAACAGCGAGTGAGCATTAACAGCACTAAGTCCCATTGGAGCAACGTCACAAGTGGAGTTCCCCAAGGCTCAGTACTTGGACCATTATTATTTATTATATACATAAACGACATAGATATCGGCATAGACAGCAACATAAGTAAATTTGCTGATGACACTAAAATAGGACGTGTTATCAAATCTGACGAGGACTCGGCAAAACTACAGGAAGATCTAAACAAATTTTTCGAATGGTCTGAAAAATGGCAGATGAAATTCAACGTCGACAAATGTAAAGTACTCAGTATAGGAGATGTAAACAGGGAAACCAGATACCAGATGAACAACGATGCCATAGAGAAATCCGACTGCGAGAGAGATTTAGGAGTAATGATAAGTAGGAACCTTAAGCCAAGTAAACAATGTGTTTTTGCTCGTAACAAGGCTAATAAAGTACTTGGGTTCATACAAAGGAGTGTTAGTTACAAGACTAGCGAGGTCATCCTAAAACTGTATCTTGCTCTTGTGAGACCACACCTGGATTACGCAGTTCAGTTCTGGTCACCGTATTACAGAATGGATATAGAATCCTTGGAAAGAATTCAGAGAAGAATGACAAGACTAATCCCGGGCATCTTAATTTGCACTCCCTTGAGAGACGTAGAGCGAGGGGCGACCTGATAGAGGTGTATAAGTGGAAGGCAGGGCTAAACAAAGGGGACATTACAAAGGTACTCAAATTATCCAACCAGGAGCGAACTCGTAACAATGGTTTTAAATTAGACAAATTTAGATTTAGGCGTGAAATATGTAAACACTGGTTTGGAAACAGAGTAGTGGATGAATGGAACAAGTTACCAAATATCATCATTAACTCGAATACGCTGAATTGCTTCAAACATAGGTTGGATGCTTATATGAGCAATAGGGGTTGGGTGTAAACGGGACTGCCCAGTATGGGCCAATAGGCCCGCTGCAGTTTCCTCCATTCTTATGTTCTTAACCTAACACAACTCAGATTAAATTAAGTTTACCAATTTTTTGTGACTTTATGACACCAAATAATAATCGAGAAGTGATTCACAGCCCGATTTACGCTTGTAGGACCATCATTTGACTTCATTGCGGCTACATTTGGGTAATTATTGTACTCACTCCCTCGGTACATGCACGCGATCTATTAGCTCAGATTAAAGAAAGTTTTCCAATTTTTTTTTACTTTGTGACACCAAATACTAGTCGAGAAGTGATTAGCAGTCCGATTTATTCATGTAGGACCATTATTTGACTTCATTGAGGATACATTTTGCTACATTTGGGTAATTAGTGGGACCGTCCAAAACTCCAGCTACCACAATCACTTAACTCGAGCGGAAATACCTGTAGTCCATAACTATTATCAACAAAAATGTCCTCAAAATTCCTAAAAGCAATAACAATATGATAGTCCTTAAAGATAAAACAACATGTTTTACCTATAGAACCGGTCTTAAGAACCATAAAGAGAGTTGTAGAGAATCTCGTTTTTGAGGTCAAGTCTTTGGTTTCTCCACCCGGCCCCAGGTAGGAGGAACAGAGTGAACATTTACTGCATTAGACGGGATACTTCAGTTATTGCCTCGTTCTTACCTGTATTTCATGATGATTTTATCCATGGTGTTGAGCCCCTGGGAAACCTTAGGGTGGGATTTCCCCTTCTTAGAGGTATCAAGAGCCATTTGGAGCCGTGTATGGTGACGTACTCCTTCCCTCCACGTTCTTCTGGCGACTGAAGGGTTGGTGAGTGGGGAGTGGTGAGTGGGGAGTAGTTACTGGTGAACGAAACGAAACCCAGTAAAAAGGAAAGTTTAGTTGTGAGTTGTGACCTGGGACCTGTGACGTTGACATTCCGTGATACACGTAGATACAAATTATATATCACAGAAATATTAAAGGGAATACTGACCATAGATGAAATCTGAAATTTGTTTCTATTTTGTGAGTTTAATTTATTTATTTAAGATACGTATAAGAAACCAAAGTTTCACAGGAACTTATATATGTTGAAGAACATACATTAGCTGATAATATGTAGCCTAAATGTACAGTACTTTATATATATTTTTTTAATTTAACTGTACATTTATATCTAAACAATAATAATAACAAGTATTTTCACATAATTGCAGGGGTCTTAAATATTGTTTTGCGCTAGCGGTATATAGCGTGGCTGTTGAGTACGATAGTTATTGGTAGAGGCATTTCAAAATCTGGGTCACTGTAATATGTAATCCTTTATTTCCAAATGCTGCATATTACTACATTATACTAAAGATCATATTTTACGAAACTGTCATGACGTTTTGCATTTACTGATATAGTCATTATTTTCACTGATCAGCTTATGAGAAAAGGTATGTAAAGTATGCTCCTTGCCAACTCTCACATTATTGGTATTAACTTCAAATTTATATACACTGTAATGTAAAATCCCCTATAGAATTCATCCTATATGGAGCATTTTGTCCACTAGCAAAAATGGTGACGTGTAGTAAATTGTTATATATAAAACATCTCAGTATGTATGTTGTGTTTTTTACTTTTTACTTTTATCCTCTTCGCCACTGATCGGCTTGTTAGCCGCTTGGGCGATCGGTCACGACTCTTTTCCTTTATATTCTTCACCAAAAGGTCGGCTCGCTAGCCGCCCGGGCGATCGGTCACGTCTCTGTCACGCACTGTTGGCAAATACTGGGCATGCACCGGCTCCTGAATGTACCTGAACCCGCTCCAGTGTTGGTCAAGTCTTCTCTTGAAAGAGCTCACACTCGGTGCCGTCACAACACTTTCTGGTAGATTGTTCCAAGAGTTTACAACCCTCACTCCGAAAAAGTTTGCCCTCACGGTTTTCCGGACTTGCGGCTTCTTCAATCTTGAGCTGTGACCCCTTGTGGGGCGAGCGTCCGCCAGCTCCAAGTAAGGACACTCAACTGAGTAGTGCCCCCTGAGATGCTTATAAACCTCAACTAGGTCCCCCCTTGCCCGTCTGTAGTATAAGCTAGGCAAGTTCAGGCGCTCCAATCTCGCAGGGTAGCTGAGATGCCGAAGTGCAGGCACCAGCTTGGTGGCCCTCCTTTGAACATTTTCAACCAACTGACAGTCCCTAGCATATCTCGGGGACCAGATGGGGTGACAGTACTCCAGATGGGGAAGCACTTCACTCCTGAAGATCGTCACGAGGGACGGACCGTCTAGATATCTGAACGACCTTCTTATAAGACCCAATAATTTATTTGCCTGATTTACCTTCTTCTCACAATGGCCCGAGAACTTCAGCTCATTGTCAACATACACACCTAGGTCCTTCTCACACACAGTCTCAACTAGTACATTTTCTTCATCCCGTTGGGACATATGGTACGCCTCCTTACCGTTGGTACGCCCCAGGTGCATCCTCTTACACTTCGTGACATTGAATCTCAGCAGCCATTCCTTCGACCATTCCTGGAGCCCACAGAGGTCCTTCTGCAGCTCTTCACAGTCCGCTTGGTTCTTAATTTCCCGAAATAACTTGGCGTCATCGGCAAACATTTGTATGGAGGAGTGTACAACGTCAGGCATATCATTTATGAAACAAACAAACAACAGCGGGCCCAATACACTACCCTGCGGTACCCCACTTGTTACAGGTACAGATGACGATTTCGTGCCATTAATCACCACACATTGCTTGCGGTCATGTAGAAAGTCTTCTATCCACGCTAGGACATTTCCCCGAATTCCGTACCCTTCCAGTTTGATTTTCAGCCTTTCGTGGGGTACACTGTCGAAAGCCTTGGCAAAATCTAGGTAAATATTGTCGATATTACCACCCCGTTCTAGAATATGGGTCCAAATATCCAATACCTTGAGCAATTGTGTCAAGCAAGAGCGCCCCGGCATAAAACCGTGTTGGCAATCTTTTACAAGGTTGTTTCGTAGTAGATGTTCCATCGCTGCATCTCTGATAATACTCTCAAGTACTTTACATATTATGCTGGTCAGGCTCACCGGTCTATAGTTGTTCGTGGAGTGCCTATCGCCCTTCTTGAAGATAGGACTCACATAAGCCACTTTCCATTCACTGGGGACCATTTGTTCATCCAGGCATTTACAAAACAGAATCTTCAGGGGCTCTGCAAGCTCGTTGCACAGCTCCCTTAGCACTCTAGGATGCACCATGTCAGGTCCAGGACTCTTATGGACCTTTAGCCTGGACAGTTTATTTCTAATACCCTCTTCTGTGAACACAATGTGGGTCAGTGCTGTGTCGAACCGTCTGTCCTCAAACGCAGGAAGGTTAGTTGCATCCTCTCTTGTGAACACTGAGGAAAAGAAGCTGTTCAATGCCTCAGCTTTATCCTGGTCAGAATCTGCGTAACTACCATCTTCAAGCCTCAGGTCTGATACTCCTACTCGCGTTTTCAATTTCGACTTTGCATAGCGGTAAAACGCCTTTGGGTTTGACTTGACCTCGCGTGCAACCAGCCTTTGGAACTCCTTTTCAGCCCTCCTACACTCTATCTTTGCTTGGTTTCTGGCTCTTGCATACATCCTCCTGTCTTGCTCATCGTTTGACCCAACCCACGTCTTGAATTTCTGGGTTTTCTTCTTAATTTTGTCGACCGCCGCATGGTTCATGTGTAGGGATCCCCTCGTATTCCTAGAAGCACTGGGCTTGGTCTTGGGTATATATTTATCGATCAAATGGGTCATTTTACTAGTTATGATATTCAGCGTAGTGTCTGCGTTCTTGTACCTTAATAAGTCAGGCCAGTTGATACCCCCTCATCTCTTCCCTCATCCCATTGTAATTTCCCTTGTAATATTTGCACCTTGGCCTGGCCTTATCTTGAACTAGGTAACAGTTAAATCTGAATGACAACACTGTATGGTGACTGGTGCCAACTGGGGCAAGGTGTTCCACTTTGGCCACCATACCCTCCTCGTTTGTTATGATGAGGTCAAGTGGCTTGGGTGTTTGCTCCCCTCTGTAATGTGTCGGGTCTCTCACATGTTGGAACAGAAAATTATCTCTCAGAGTTTCTACAAAAAGAGTAGCAGGATTATTCAAGTCATTCGGGGTTGACTCGTTTCTCCAGTCGATGTCGCCATAGTTAAAGTCCCCCATGATAAGGAGGTGGCTGGGGTTGAGCATCGCCGCATTGTTTATTAAGGTTCTTAAGTTCCTTTGATTTAGTGGGCCACAGTTCGGGGATCTGTAGATACACCCGACGATAAGTAAGTCCCCTCCCTTTAATTTAATTTTACACCACTTGGACTCTTCAAAGACATCCTCTCCCTGTACCCTCGCCTGGCTGGCTCTAAGGTCTTGCCTAGCGTAGATAACCACACCCCTCCTGCAGGATTCTTGAGTTAGGTTCGTAAATGAGTCATATCCAGCAATACTGAACTCACATTCCTCTGGGTCGATTCTCCTGTTCTTGTACAACAGTTCTACAACTCCTACAATATCTGGTTGGTGTACTCTTAGTAGTGTTTCAAACTCCTCCCTCTTATCCAGGAACGTGTCGGTATTAGTGTACATGACATTCAAGCCAGAATTTGTTCTCGGTAACGTCTCTGCTCTTAGTAATAAACCCGCTCCACCCACATTCTCAGAAGCTGCAGCATTTGCTAAGTACACTGTATTTTGCAGGGTGTGGTTAAAAATTTCATTGTTTACACGGCGCTCGTTCCCTCCTGTCCGGTAGGCTGAGCCGGTGCCGCCTCCCGGGTGGGGGGTTGAGTGGGTGGAGGGTGCACTGCTGCCCCCTGGCCCTGTGTCGGCACACTTGTTTCCACTACCCTCCCCCTGAGTATAACCCATGTGCACCTGTCCCCGTTCCTTCTCGACTCCTCCCTCCTCTGCTTCAAGTCCAGCAGGAGCTTCTTGTGCTGTTCCCTCTGCATTACCGTGCGGTCTGGGTGAATAAATACATCTCGAAATGCCTCGCTCCTTGCTAAGTTTTTTGCCTGCCGGATAACTTGCCATTTTTCCTCCTCACTCCCTAATGTGATCCTGAGGGGGCGAGGCTTAGCCCCCTGCTTTTGTCCCAGTCTCCTCACATCCTGAGGGGTTGCTGGAATCTTCAGAACCTCTGTGCAAATATTTTGAAACAGCACCTTGTCGTGTGTTTCCTTACTCACAGTTCCCTCTGCCTGGCTCTCTGGGACTCCAAAAACTATTACATTGTTCCTGCGCTGGAGCCGTTCCTGGTGTTCCTCCTCTCCCCTAACAGTAGGTCCGTTAATTTTCATTTCTTCGACACACTTTTTCAGAGTCCCAATCTGCTGTAGAACCTGTACTGATTCTGGGTCAATAGTAAGTGAAACAATTGAGACCTGCAAGTAAATGAGGCAGAAAGTCAGATTAGCAACGTGAGACTTGGTCACAATTTTGTAATGCCATGTGGCAGCAGGGTCTACCATAGACGACACATTATGCTTCCAATATCTTCCCAGGCGGTAGTACCTCCCTCCTTTAAACAAGAAATATACGAATATTAGTAATCTGAAATCAATTCGTGAATTTCTTCAACATGGAGAGAATATTACTAGCTGTGATGTGTTGAACAAGTCTCGCACCAGGGAACTGTGACTTCAACGTCATGTAAATGTTGAAATGTAGGAGCCAGGGATGCGTTTCACAATGGTCTGATGAATATCTCCAGGTTCGGAGTTCGGACACAGCAATATACAATTTTTTTAACTACTATTAAGTTTTATATCTTGAATACTTTAAGATTGTTATCCTTAGAGAAATCTAGACCTAAAATTATATTTCTCATTTCCATGTTGGCGCGCTTATATATGAAACGATAATTGTGTAGTTATTACTGATGGACGGTCCCATGATGTGACGTCACGACCAAAACAAAACTTGAATTCGCGCCAAACCTACAACAGGCGACTGAGGCTACTGAGGCTACACCGACAGCTATAAGTCTAGTATGGGTGTCAACATGGATTCTATGTACTTAGAAAATCTGGACGAATTTGTCAATGATGAATCCAGAATTGTAAGTGAAAAATTATTTAAGCTCTCGGCTTTTGATAGCGAGTATAATAGTTGTATTGTTAAGGATAATCAGTAAAGAGGCTGGTTAATAATAGCGTACTACTGGCTATAGGCTGTATGGTACTGGTGCAACATTTACTTGAGATTATACTTTGTGAATGAGCGCTAATGGGGGGTAAAATCACCAGCACCTTTGTATTATTTAACTTTTGGACAACAAGGGAATCTTAAGAATTTTATCTTTGCAATTAATAGTTTAGACACCTTTCTTTGACGTTTCCCTCTCAAATGACTCATATATGCCCGGTCGGTTAGAAGGTTATGTTAGGTCATTTTCGAGGAAAACGTCATAAGAGTGTATAGAATTGTCCATACTATTGGGTAAAATTATCGTTTCAGTCATGCACCCATTTGGAAGTAGGTCAGAATCGTTCAAAACACTTAAAAAAACCACTGGAAGAACATAATTTCAACCTAACCTTACCTTAAAATTCTATAATTCGCTGCATGACCGAAATGATAATATTACCAACTATCGATTGTTGGTGGTACAGTGGTAATGCACATAACTCATACCAATATGTTAAGGGATCGAACCTCGGCCCGGTCACACATGAGAAGGGTATTATTCAGTGTGACCTTCGCTACCAAACACCACATGTTTCCCGGTCTCCAGTTTCCTCCTGTACTAACACTGGATAGACCGTCCAAACTGCTAATAAGCGGCGAATATGATTAAAAAGATAAATAAATAAAATATAAAATCCTGAAATTCCCATGATGTCCGAAAGTAAAACCTTACCAATTAACCAACTAACCTGCCTAACCTAAGCTACATGAATTGAAGTTTCACCTAAACAATATTGGAAATCCTGGAGGAGATGGCGGGAATTATTTACTTCACAGCCGCTTAGTTTTCATAGAAAACGAATTTAAAAATGCCACATTTTCACTGTGTTTTATAGTGGACACCGTCATAGTTATGGCAAATGAGGTAAAAAATGTTTATTTAAAATTTCAAGATAAGTTAACCTAATGTAACCTAACCTAACTTAACACCTGCCATGAGCGAACTTACTGTTACTGAGACAGGGAGAAGCGGCTGTAAAGTCCTCCATATTAGCCATGATGGTTAACACCAGAACGCGTTATTCAATTTTGTTAATTTGTTGCACAATGTTATTATAATAAGTATTTCAAAAGATGCAACATTTACTAGAAACTAAAAGAACCTGACCTAACCAACCAAAGAACCCTACCTAACCTTACCTAACTTTCTAGCCAGGGGGCTCCTAACCCAGACCCACCACCATATTAAACAGAAAGTACTTATTTGATGTCTGGTACTGTATCAATGAAAGCAACTTTGTTGAAGTGTCATGGTCTAATTTTACGTTTTTTGTGGATGTGAGGGTACTGTACACTCGGACTGAGTCGATTGGATGTACAGTATACAAATAGGCAACATGCGGTGACTTAGTAGATTTTTCGGAGGAGTATTTACGGTAATTAATTAATTTCTAAACGTACAAAGTACGTAAAGATATAATTTTAGTATCATGTGATCAGTGTTTCACCGTGTTTTATCATACAATTTCCCTCATCATTCATGCCCTACCCACTACAGTGGTCCCTCAGTTAACGAACACAATTCGTTCCAGAAGGTTGTTCGTTAACCGAAACCATTGTTTCAATGGGATTTTCGGTAATTGGTTCCAGCTCACCGAAAATTACATAAAGTAAAAAAAAATGCAGTAAAGTACACTTATTTTGAGGTGTGCATGTAGAAGGCTCCTGGTTGATGATGATGATGATGGGAATTAGAAGTAGGGGTGGAGGAGAAGGGAGAAGAGAAGGAAGTGGGGATGGAAGAGAAATCACCCCACGCTTCATGCCGTCATTTCACCCATAAAATTTTAAGTTCACTAGGTGTAATTCAAGATTATTTTCTTTAAATCAACACTGCACTGCACTATATATTGTCAATATGTTAAATAAATTTCAGAATGACCAATAATTGAACTGTAAAAACATAAAAATAGTTTATGTTCAAGAGAGCCACAAGCAAGATGTTACCTCCACTGACCAGAGATAAAACTGACTCCTTGGTGGGTGAGTCAAGTGGCTGATTGACGCACCAAAAACTAGTTTCCTGTACTGCAATTATGTTAAATACTTGTTAAAATGACTAAAAAATTTAAAATAAAACTTGGAAAATTATTGAATAGTACAACCTTCTTGGTATTTACTCAAATTTTAACGAATTTAAGCCCTAGAACCGATTACTGTATTGGCGGACTAATATTCCAGCTGGTGAGCAAGCGAAAACATGTTGACACAATTTCGTTAACTGAATTTTTGTTCGTTAACTGAATTTAATATTCTTATGGAAGATAATTCGTTAACCGAGGCGTTCGTTAACCGAGGGATCACTGTACATGTGATTTATGATCATAGATAGAGAAAACTAAAAAAAATACAAAAATATAATTACAATTAATATAAAAAGCTGTTGCCTTTAAAATACTTACTTCACAGTACTATACATTAAGCTCAATTTATGATAGTAGCCAGGTTTCGATTTTTCCATAAAAATACATTTCTCATATGGTGCTAACCACCCATATTAGAATTAAGTCCTTCCCCCATGACAGGGATGAGGGAAGGATCTAACCTAAACTAAACGAACCTAATCTAATCTAACCATTAACACCATGAAAACACTGACCTCGGACTCCCCCCTCCCACCCCCCCTCCTCAGTGTTGATCGCTTTCTTACCCTAGAGGCTGCCATTGATGTCATGCATCATTCTCCTCAGTTCATTATATACCTATTACCGTTATTTCTCGTCAGCGCAGAGAGTGTCATAGAAGAAATTTGTCTTATTTTTGTTAGGTAATGTGGTTGCAGACAATAAAATAATGGAATTCAAAACCTGGCTATTATCCTAAATTGACGTACGTTAATGATAATAACATCTGTGGAAAGAATTAACAAAACCAAGCAACTTATGTTGTTAGCCAACTTCTTTAGTATTACCTCAATATTACATCATTTAGGTAAGCAAGTCACGAAAATAGCCACAGGCTGTTTTGGTCTATTTTTCTGCTCTTTAACCCAACCCTTTTTTTTTATGGTCATTATTATTATTATTAATAATAATAATATTTTATTATATTTTATTTAACATTTATTTAATTTTTATTAATTATATTTTAATATAATGATAATTATTATTATTATTATTATTATTATTATTATTATATTATTATTATTATTATTATATTATTATTATTATTATTATTATATTATTATTATTATTATTATATTTTTATTATTATTATTATTATATTATTATTATTATATTATATTATTATTATTATTATTATTATTATTGTTATTATTATTATTATTATTATTATTGTTATTATTATTATTGTTATTATTATTATTATTATTATTATTATTATTATTATTATTATTATTATTATTATTATTATTATATTTTTGCCCCCCAAACCTTAATGTGGGTCCATTAACCTTTGCCCTGGTGGGCTAATCCTGTAAAAAAAATATCAGAAGTCATATTTTTCTTTGCATACTACAATAAATACTATTATATCATTACTTTTATTACATAAACAATGGGCCGGTAAAATAGCCCGAAAAAGCCTGTCATGCTACTTTGCCGTGACCAGTAATTCAGTCTAACTATAATGTAACAGTATCTGGTACTTTGACAAGTTCCCAAATGTCAACAAAGGCACCCATGATTTTACACCAGTTAAATACAAGGTGGAGGAGACCGTTATCACCAGAAATACAGTAACTTCTGGAACTGAACCAAATTTTTGGGAGATACTATTTACAGTTCATGATACTGAACATGAAAATGGAAGTGAGAATGTACAGAACCTTACCTAACCTACCTAATCTCATCTCACCTAATCTACCTAACCTCACCTAACTTACCTAACTTACCTAACCTACCTAACCTTATCTAACTTCCTAACCTGTGCATTGTCATTTGGATATTCTTACTATCACCCAAACAACATTTCTAGAATAAAATGAACAAATTCAATCCATTATAAATCTTAATGAACACATCTGATGAGATCGTTGTTAGTTTCTTGATATGTAAACAAAGACTACGGACGCTCACGCATAGCAGACAATGTAAACCAAAATAAAGTCGCCATGTGAGATCTGACGGAGCCATAATTGCGGTGAATATTTTATTTCTTCGCCTACAAAAGATGTAGAGATGTGAAAATACAGCTCCTCCCCGACTTACGACCACCCGGACATACGACCGCCTCAGTCATACCAAAATTTTGTCAAATTACGTATTTTCGGGTCCCAACGTCAGTGATTGCGCTGTGTACTGACAAAATTTTCATTTGTAGTTCACTTTAAAATGGCTGGCAAGCTTAAAAGTGAGAGTTTTGTGGTGCTGAGAAGAAAAAGAGACACCCATTTTAGATTTTCTATGTACAGTTGTACCCCACTTAACGCGGTCAATAAAACCCAGAGGGTACCGTGTTAAGTGAAAACCGCGTTAAGTGAACAACAGAACATATGGGATTAATTCCAATAGAAACCGGCCCGACCCCCAAACTCCACTTTTTGACGACACATAACTATGTTGTAGTAAAAATAACATCTTAATTTTATGATGGTACATGCACACAATTAATACTTAAGAGAAATAGAGAAATACAGTCGCCAAGTTAATGTCCATTCAAATAATGGACTCAACTCCCTCCCCCTCTTCTCACACTACACTGCTGGCTCTTCCCTCTCTGAGAAATTTTTGGGGGAAAACCACTGAATTTTAATAAATAATACCTCAAACTAAAGTTAGGATAATACAATTGACATTGCTGGATTCCTTGTAAGACCAGGAATATTTTGAATATAAATGTCATATATTTTGCACAAAAGAGAACATATTTACTCAGAGTAAACATTTTATCTAAAATTTGTATGTCTAATGCAAAATATATGATGTTTATATTCAAAATGATCACCAAATTGTAAGAATTCCAGCAATGTAAATTATATTCTGGCCGGGTAATTTGTATGAATTTTATGAGCTAAAACAGGCAGGGTGGCGGGTGGGGCAAATCTAAAAATAGCGTCTCGAGCCGGACACTCACCGCGTATATGTGGAAAAAACCCGCGTTAAGTGAAAGTTCAGCTCTGGCGAGGCACCGCGTATACGGTAAAACGCGCTAAGTGAAACCGCGTTAGGCGGGGTAATACTGTATTATTTAAGCATTTTCGACTTACGACCATTTCGACTTAAGACCTGGATTTGGGTCCCTAACCCCGTCGTAAGTCGGGGAGGAGCTGTACTGCCATAAGATCAGTGTTTGCAGTGTTTTTACCCTGTTGTTTCCCTCTTTCATGCCCAGCCCACTGACATGTACAGTAATTTATAATCGAAGGATAGACTAAAAAAAGAATCTGAGGATGATGCTTTCGTATCAGCAAGGAATTCGACTATTTTCTTATTGTTGCCTTTCTTCTTTAAGTTTAAATTATTTTAGTAAAGTACTGTACTATAGGTTCTGTACAGGATTTGCAATTTTCATATTTCTGTTTAGTAATAGTCTAGGTTTTTGTGGTATGCTTTATGGTTGATTCTTCAACCATCCTCCCTTGCCAGATTTTCATTCTGTGCAGTAAAACAAACGGTACTGTACAGATCCCATGAAAAAGTGATGGTGTTACAGTACAGTACACTAATGAATGTACTGTTACATGAAGTTATATATACTGTATATTAGGCTTAACATAAATAATTTTGTTAATTTTAAATAAGTTTAGTAGTCTTTATTCTGAGTTTATATACTGAACAGTTTGTTATTGTTAAACTGCATTTAGTAATATTTTTATTTAGCTAATTTTTTAAATGATTTTTTACAGTATGTATATAGTAATGATAAACCATGTTATTGATACTAGAGCAACATGTTAGTAATTATACTTGTGGTGGCAGGTAACCTACAAGTGGCTGAGTCTCACCCTGGGGGTCCACACCAATGTTGCCAAACAGTAAGTCAATACTCTACCTGTACTGTACCTTCTCGGTCAATTTAGTAAATAAACATTATTTTCTTTCTCTTTTATATGATATTGTGTTGATTATACTGTATGTTAAGAACAGTTATTTCTTGATGAAATTTGGGTTCATAGGACTGCTCTGATTTTTTCCTTTGCAGAAATATTACATCTGCTTTGATATATTGTACAAGTATTCATGTCATGCTGCACAATACAGTATACTACCTACTGTTTGATTTCCACCGTGACATATGGATAAGATATTTGATTTATATTGATTAAGTTACTCAGCAATTTATAAACTATGCATAACTGTTATGTAAAACATTAAAGGACTTATTATAAAAACATGTACAGTTTAGTCAAAATGCAATATACGTATATGTTTTTGTCACTTTCATTATGCTGTTTTACGAAACTAGATACAGGTGTACTGGTACAGTACAGTACTGTATTTTATAAAAATTAACTGCCATAATACAAAGATTAATGGTCCATTACAGTACTGTATCTGAATTAATGTTGCACTTGTCTTTTTTTTTTACTTGTATGAAGCATATTTTGTAGTTCTCATCGCTGTGCCTGAACTAAAGTATCACTTTATACTGTACATATTGTAGATTATGAATCATAGTCCTGATTTAACAGTCTCTTTGTTTCATGTACCCAGGATGCTGTATCACTTTGTCACCAGTCAGCGTGATGCAGACAAAGGTGACGGACTCAATGTTACATACGTGGTGTCTGGTATTGTGGGCGATGAGGGCGACACTCCTGATGTACATAAGGTGGGTGGTGTGTAAAGCTCACTTGAGACCTTGCTAGTTAGTTTGGAGTAAGATGTTGCTCTGACCTTACCTGGATGTTTTGTGTATTGTTAGGTGGTGGTGAAGTAAAGAAGATGTGAGATATATTTGAAAAAGCTGTTGGGATTTGTAGATATTAGTAGGTGATGGTATAAGTAGATGTGGTGTGAGATAATTCCTGAAGGTTAGCTATACTGTATTGTATGAGTTATTTCTTGTTAGTTGATGGTAGTACTGTACTATATTCTGTATTTCCCAGCCTATAAGACCATTACAATGCACCCTAACACATCTAAGGTTATTTTAAGGGGAAAATACAGTACAGTACTACAGTAATATCTCAGTTATCCGGATTCCCTCAAACCTTGAACTCTAAGATAGCTGGAATTGAAATTTTCTGTGGGGCACATTTTCCGGAAATTCTGAGAAAATTTTTCTGGTACCTGGAAAATTCCGGGGATGGGGGATATTTTTCCAGGTTCGAGAGATGATGTAATACCCTAGGCAATTTGTGGAACTTTCAGAAAATTCTGAAGATGAGGAATTTTTTTTCTTGCTTTGAGAGAGTCATCTCGTTACCCGGAATTTCTCATTCCCGGAAATGTTCTGCACCAATTGTTCCGGCTAACGGAGATTTCACTGTACAGTATTTTGAAAACTTAATAGCTTAACACCCCCATGGAAATCATAAAATAATGAAAAATGAATTTGTTATACTGTAAATGGTTTCTAAGTTAAATGATTGATTTATTGATACCAAACTTATACAGTTAACCCTCACTTTACGCGGTCCCACATTCCGCGTTTCCACGTTTACGCGGTGCCCTGCCGGAACCCAGGATGCTCACATTCCGCGGTGCGTGTACCCCTTTACGCGGAGAGCGGCTGGCGAGCGCCATTTTTGGATCCAAACTTCCCGCCATCCGCCATGTTGTGTAAGCGGCGCGAACATGGTGTGCACAAGGTCGCCCAGTCATCAAAACATTACCAGTTCTTCACCCGCCACCCACCACAGCCGGCCCAAGTCAGTGATAGTGATAATTATGGTGAGGATATGGACTTATATGGACTTTGGGGAGTTTGACAAAGAGGCCCTGCAAGCCTCTGTGGTGGATAGTGATACAATTGATACAAGTGACACAGGTGATGTCCAATAATCTGCCCTCTGCCTCGGAACCAACCGCCCATCCCCGTGTGCCCAGCCATTTTTTCTACTAATGTAAGTGTTAAAAAACCTAATATTATTGATATTTCTCTTAATTATTAATTGTGTGTGCATACCATCATAAAGTTAAGATAATATTTTTACTGCAACATAGTTGTGTGTCGTCAAAAAGTGGAGTTTGGGGATCGGCCCGGACTCCATTTCAATTCATCCCATATGTTATGTTATTCACTTTACGCGTTTCTCACTTTACGCGGGACCCTCCGGGTTACATTAACCGCGTAAAGTGAGGGTTAACTGTATACCATATAAATGATGAGGTTCAGAGTTAAATGATTTAGTGAGTGCAGTGAGACAAATTTGAACAAATTTCAAATTGCATACATCAAAAATTTGAAAAAAATGCTCTGATTAACAATGAAATTGATATCTAGTATGTTGTTATTATTATTATTACAGTGTTATTATTATTGTAGTTATTATTATTTTATTACAGTATTTTTATTTTGTTATTTTCTATTATAAATTTTATTTATTATGAATTATTATTATTATTGTTTTTATTATTACCTTTATGCCCCCAGGCCCCAATGTGGGTCAGTGACTTGTGCCCGGGTGGGCTAATGCCTGAAAAAAAAATTGATACCTAGTATATTACAAAGTACAATAGCACATACAGTATTTTATGCACAAAATAATAGCTCCTTCCACACACGAACCATCTTCTGGGTGAAGTGACAGTTCAGTCAGGCCGTCACCCACCTGACTCAAGAGACGTACCGGGTATGTGTATGTCATGATGTCACAGTAGAGAGAGGGAGCATGGCTAGCTGGCGAGTCGGTGACGCAGGTGCAGCCCACTGCCTTCACAAATACTGTATGTTCACTTCACATACACACCCGTGCTCTTCATTTTTCTTATTTTATAATTGTACAGTACAGGTACTGTATATTATATTTTCTTTACAGTATTTTTAAGCCACATTAGAGTACAGTACTGTATTGTAATAATTGTTTTTTTTTTTTTTTCATTGCATGTGTTTAGAACAAAAGTTCCTACCTTAAATTTGACCTTCAGCCGATAAAACACAGGGTGATTTTAAGGAAAAAGGGGCATCTTATGAGCTGAGACATGAGTACATTAAGTCAATTTATTGTACTGTACAGTTATTCAAAAAGAAGTAAACATTTAAACAGTCATAAAAAACAACCCTACAGTACTTACTAAATAATAGTGAAACTTGTCAAATTTGGTTTTTATTTGTATTTTTCATTCTTATCACCAGAGGTGTCATAGAAAGGCATCCCTTCAAGAGAAAGCATTACCAGTTATTCAATATGTAAAGACAAATTCAGTGAGAAGTGTTCAACCACAATGGAAATCAATTTATGTTTGGTATAAGTACAGTAGTTTGAAGACAAAGATACATCTGTAAAGGAAAGAGTTCTGGCTGCCCAAGAGTTAGTCCAGAGATACAAGGTCTGTAGCTATAACTAATAAAAAACTTGACGGGTTTCTCTTTTATTTAATAAGTGTTCCGCCCCCAATACAAACATGGGTTACTTTTTATGACTGTTTAAATGTGTTTTTGAATAACCCTGTATGGTATATACAGTATTGGTGAACAAATTGGAAAAATAGTTCATAACTGATGAAGATAGATAAACTTTATGTATACTGTATAGTACAGGCAGCAGTCCCCGGGTTACATACGAGTTCTGTTCATATGGACGTTTTTAAGTAAAAAATGTACTTACGTTTAAGCACATAGTACTCTATGTGCATACCGTACTTACAGAGCTATGTTTAAAGTCCCACTATATCATAGCCTAATTCCTTATATACATCTAAAATCACTAAATTTAAGAGAAGAGAAGAAATAGAATGACACAATACAGCAAATGAAAGTGAAAAATAAGCCACCAAGTAAAGGTAGTAGGTAGTAACTAGCTATCAAACAGAGGTACTAAGTTTGCCTGGGAGGATATTTGAAGCATAATGTGTTGTCAAATGTGCCTTGGTGGGCTAATCTCCGTGAAAAATATTTTTTTGTCTTTATGGGACCTCGTTCATATCGGTGGATGTTTGTGAGTTAACCACATAACCCGGTGACCTCTTGTACTCTGTATATAGTATGGTGGAAGTAAAAGTCTTAACTATCATTTAAAATACAGTGGTCCCTCGGTTAACGAACGCAATTCGTTCCAGAAGGTCGTTCGTTAACCGAAACCATTGTTTCAATGGGATTTTGGGTAATTGGTTCCAGCTCACCGAAAATTACAGAAAGTAAAAAAAAAACTGCAATAAAGTACACTTACTTTGAGGTGTGTATGTAGAAGGCTCCTGGTTGATGATGATGATGATGATGGGAATGAGAAGTGGGGGTGGAAGAAAAATCACCCCATGCTTCATGCCGTCATTTCACCCATAAAATTTTAAATTCACTAGGTGTAATTCAAGATTATTTTCTTTAAATCAACACTGCACTGCACTATATATTGTCAATATGTTAAATAAATTTCAGAATGACCAATAATTGAACTGTAAAAGCATAAAAATAGTTTATGTTCAAGAGAGCCACAAGCAAGATGTTACCTCCACTACCAGAGATACAAACTGACGCCTTGCTGGGTGAGTCAAGTGGCTGTTTGGTGCACCAAAAACTAGTTTCCTGTACTGCAATTATGTTAAATAAGTGTTAAAATGACTACAAATTTTAATATAAAAAACTTGGAAAATTATTGAATAGTACAACCTTCTTGATATTTACACAAATGGGAACGAATTTAAGCCCTAGAACCGATTACTGTTTTGGCAGACTAATATTCCAGCTGGTGAGCAAGCGAAAACATGTTGACATGATTTCGTAAAAATTTTGTTAACCGAATTTTTTTCGTTAACCAAATTGAAGATTCTGATAGAAGGTAATTCGTTAACCGAAATTTCGTTAACTGAGGCTTTTGTTAACCGAGGGATCACTGTATATCCAGTTAAAGTGAAGAAATTTTGATAATATTGTGTAGTACAGTACAGGGTCCACCCAAATTCGTGGAAGTTAGGTTCTCAAAATGGCTGCGAATTGCTAAATCCGGACTGGTGGGGGGGAGGGGGTACATTTTTACTTGTGTACAAAGAAATGTATATTCCCTTTGTGTTTGCCCTTAGAACTATTATTTCTTTTACCCGTTTTGTATATATATATGTGTGTGTGTGTAGACACACACACACATATTTACAATACAGGTAAAGGAAATTAGTCTCTAGAACGAATGGCTCCCTGTCCCAGTAGCCGCGAAAATGCCGGCAACTTTAAAACTACCCACAGACATTCTTGGGTACATCCAGGGTGTCATCCGCGAAATAAAAATCTGCTAACTTGGAGGGCCCCCTGTACTGTATCTTTAATTGATTGTTAGTCACAGGAAGTTAATAATATGCACACAACAAAACTTCTTGAACTCCTGGGCACGATGGATATGAGAATGAGGAGAATGGGGCTTGTTATCTCAGAATGGTTTCCAATTCTTCGTTAATTTTTCCGGTGGCATAGTGCTTATAGGGTTTAAGAAGTTTTTGGTGAGAGTGTACATACATGAATAGATAGCCTAGACAATTTCTACAAGGAAATTGGGAACAAGAACCTCATGCTTTTGGCTGTCTGTATAGTACTGCATTTCAAGTCATATTCTGGGTCACAGCAGATTGTACAAAAGAACATGACTTGAATATTACAGTGTTTACTTTTGATAGCCGTCTCTCCTCCGTGTCCTTCCATACAGGCAGTCAACATTTAAATCCTCTGTATCTCTATTAGTGTACTGGTAAATATTGTACCTGTACTGTAATTGTTAATCTGGTTTAGATTTATAACAGTTCAAGTAAGATGTTATACAGGCATTCTGTTTATCATGTTTGAAATTATTGAATATCTGGTGCAAAATCATATTATAATACTTTTGGTAATTTAATAAGTGTTAGATATAACTGCAGCAACATCTAGTAGTTTGTTGTATTTGCTTCTGATGTTAATAATTTGTCAACAACAGCTAATGGGAAGAAATTCATGTTCATAACCAATATATACAATTCAGTATTTAAAGATCCAAAGAATAAATGAAATAATTTGTGCTGCAACAAGATGTACCATAGGTGGAACAGGGTCCAAGGAAAAGAGTAAATTTACAATGGGGTGTATTATAAGGTACAGGGATAACTCTTACTAAGAGAGAGGGACATTTTTTTTCCCCCAGTCACGGTGATCTTAGTGTATTCAGTCACACTTGTATTTATGCTATATTGTGTGCAATATGGTTTAGATATTTACATGGTTCTTGGACATTTTGTCACCAGTTCATTATAAACATAACCTAACCTAACCTACTCCAGCTAAACGTAACCATGGCTTCATTGCCTCCAATAAAAGACAATATTTTCTAGATTTGGTAAATATAAAGCAGTATTTAATAGACTGGTGTCGGAGTGTCTGCTTACCATATACATACATGTACATTAGTTTAATTTATCCCTGTATATAATGTTCTGTTTTAATTCACGACAGGTAGTTTTGGCGCGGGAAGAAAATTTGGCTACAGTCAAGGCCAAGTTGAAGGAGATTATTTCAGTACATATCTACAGTGTTCAGAAGACTAAGTTGAATGATATGAGTGTTCTCTACACTGCCAACTATGACAAGGTTAAGGAAAACATTATGAACATATGCAGGTAGGTTCTGCTAGAATGCATCATAAACTTACTGGTTATAAAGTGGACCTAAGAACATTTTTGTACAGGATTATGTAAACCAGATGAATGTCGTGGATTCTTATAGATGGGAGACACCCTGACAACACATCTGGTGAAGCAGAGGGGAAGGCTGTATGAGAGTCAATGAGGGAGTGTGTGTATTGCTGTTGATTCAGGCCAGTCTGCACCATAAGGAAAAGAACTTGCAAGAATGAAACATATTGTAAATACCTTACTGTAGTATATACAAAATGTTCCTCATTCTTATTGTTGTTTGGAGGATATACTGTCATGTGTACATCCCAAAGTCCATCTCACATGAATAGGAATATATATGAACCATTCATTAAAAAAAAGATTGCTGAAAATGTTTTAGAAAAATGGCTGTCAGTATGTAGCATTACCCAGAATGATGACAGTACCTGTAGCAGTATCATTCAGAACCTAGGTTACAGGTCATCGTCAAACCTTTCAATCTCAAAGACCCAACATGAAAATTAAAAATATTTGCTGTAGATATAGTGTTTGTAGGTTAGGTTATCCCATAAGTAAAACAAGAACCAACACATATATATTTTGTGTTTTCATGCTACTCTAAAGTCACTTTTGTTGAGGTAGTACTGTACAGTATGTACTGTATTGCTCTGATTATAGAGTACAGTATATCTGATGGAGTTCACACTTGGGAGTCACTTGTAACATGACTCATAGTAGGTCATTTTGGCACTTGTACTACAGTTTGTGAAGACAGACATTCACTTAATATTAGAAAATATAATGTTGAAACAGAGGCAAGTTAACTCAGTAAATACTTTACACACTAACACTTTAGACCCGTGGAGATATAAGAGTAGAAGATAAGTATATTTGAACATACAGTGGTCCCTCAATTAACGAAAAGTCCAATTAACGAAATTTCGGTTAACGAATTAGCTCCCATAAGGATTTTCAATTCCATTAACGAACAAAACTTTGATTAACGACAGCCTTATGAGAAACACGCTTTGTTGTGCGCATCAGCTGATTGGCTAGTCCACCAATACAGTAATTGGTTCTATGTTTACATTCGTTTCCAGTGGAGTAAATATCAAGAAAGTTGTGCTCTTGAATATTTTTGCATTTTTTATATTGAAATTGTTGGTCATTCTAATTTAGTTAACATATTGATAATATATACAGTACAGGGAACAGTTTTTGTGCACCCATTAACTGATTGAATCAACCACCAACGCTTCTCAGTTGATTACAGTGGAGTGAACATCCAGTTTGTTGGTCTCTTGAATATTTTTGCATTTTTAAATTAAAGTTATCAGTTATTCTGAAATTTAGTTCACATACCGATATTGATAATATACAGTGCAGAAATGATTATGAAACATGAAGAAGGCATTAGAACCAATGCATTTTGTAAAGAATATGGCATGTCGTCATCGACTGCCTCTACAATCAGATGTTTGATATGTAAACAAAGCTGCCGGGAATACGACATACACACCTCAAAGTAAGTTAAAATACAGTAAAGTATTCTGGTTTTTTTTTATTATTATTCAGTATACTGTACTGTACAGTACTGTATTTAGTTTATATTTAATGTTTTGTTAATTCTATTACCGGTATACAGTACTTTGTATGCACTGTTTCTGTGAGTTGGAACCAATTGCCCAATATCCCATTGAAATAATAGATTCAGTTAACAAAATTTTCGGTTAATGAATGACTCTGTGGAACCAATTGTGTTCGTTAATCGCGGGACCACTGTATTGGAAATACCTTTACTGTTTGTGGTGTTTGAAGAATGGAATACAATTAGACTATTTGTGATACATATACTGTAATTGTTGTTGTGGAGTGAATGGGGCCTAAGAAAGGAGCTGTCATTTGGCATAGATTACATGTATGATCTAATCTTTTGTTAATTTAACTTTGACCTACAGGTATAGTGGCATTGAATGCTCAGAGGCTAAAGTTCATTCAACGGCAGACCTGGCAAAAAGAGAGCAACAGAATGCCTACCACGCCCCACATGACCCTACAAAGACAGAGGTAAGATACTAAGATAGTACTGATGACAAGTCTTCTGTTAGAATGGCTCACTTTATCAGGCACATTTATGGTATAATCAACTGGCTCTTATAACACAAGCAGAGCCATAAAAGTAAAGAGTTTCTTGTGATAAGCTGAACTACAGAGAAAAGAGTGAGTAGAGGCTAAATCTGGCTTTTGTAATATATAGATACCTAGTTAAGAGTCCCAAGTTGAGGAATATTTGTACTAGTTGAGTACATCAGACATGTCAGCTGATGGTTGTGTGGGCATTTTATGGTGTCATTAGCATGACAAAAAGGTGAAGTACTGTACCGTATTGATGATATTTAAATAAAAAGCTGAAAGTAAATGATATGTTACAAAATAACTACATAACAACTGCCATATAAGTCATGCATAAAATAATAATTATACTAAACTTTTCAGGGAAGAAGGATTTTGGTACTTGAGTATGTACATTGCAGTGCAGTACAGTATTTGAAAAGATAATTGACTTGAATCTTTTTATAATTTGGGGAAATTGTTTGATGTGTCACCCCTATATTGTACAGTAAAGCCTCGAATAATGACGGTAATGTGTCCTCCAGTATTGCAGTGTAAGGTGAATCATCGTGTCGCGAATCATTAATTACTATTAAAATAAAGCAATAATAATGAGATGCGTTCCCCAGTGTGACCTCTCATATCTTTTGTGTGGCTTTTTACCCTCTTTTCCCCCAAAACAATTAATGGAAATTGCAAATTATATTCTTTAATTAATGTTTCTGAATGCACCTTATACAATATAAATGAATAATAATATGGTCACACAAGAGGAGATGGGACGCCATTGTTTTCGTTTGTGTTTACAGCCGGGAGTCCGGGACGATAGTTCTACACGAGAAAATTAAGAAATAAGACCCTGGTTGTAGCTGTAGTAAAATTAATGTAAAAAAAATTAATATACGGTATAAGTTTTAACTTATGTTAGTTAATGTTAATAAATGGAACAATGGAAGTAGCTAACCACTAATGGCAAAAAAAAAAAAAAAAAGAGATGGATTGGGAACGCCAACATATACGTGCGCTTTTAAGGATACTTCGCCATTTATCTTTTTAAGAATATGTACAAAAGATTCATTATTGTTTATTACTGAATATGTATGTGATTGAATTAATCTTTATATAGTATATGCGAAATACACAATATAATTCATTGATAATACGTAGAATATTAAAACACACATGAGGATAAGAGATGGCATTGTTGTAGTGTTTACACCCATAATGTCAGTAACCCACCTGAAACTGAAGAAAATCAGACCCTGTTTGTTGTTGTAGTAAAATTAATGTAAAAAATATGTATGTTTTAATTAATGTTACCGGTATTTAATGTACAGTAGAAGTCACCACTGATATTAAAGAAAAGTGAGACTGATAGTGGAACGCCAATGTATACGTGCACACTCAAGGAAACAGTCATTTATCTTAAGAATATGTACAAAAGATTCATTATTGTTTGTTGCTGAATATGTATTTGATTGAATTAATGTTTATATATGTGAAATGAACAATGCAATTCATTAATAATACGTAGAATATTAAAACACACACAAAGAGACAAGACGGCATTGTTTTCGTGAGTGACGATCGTTCTACATAAGAAACTGAAGAAAATAAGACCCTGGTTGCAGCTGTAGTGAACTTATTTTAAAAAAAAAATTGAATACCTGTATGTATGTTTTAAATAATGTTATTTAATGTTAATAAATGGAACACTGGAAGTAACTAACCACTAATGGTAAAGAAATAAAGTGAGACGATTGGGAACGCCAACGCTTGAACAGTAAGTGCGTACATGTGAAAACATATCGTCATTTCTCTACATATGAATATGAAAGCAACACTTATTTACTGTTCATATATGTTTTAAATGATATTTACGAATGTAAAGCAAAAATTCTACTCACCAATGGTGGTAGAGTCTAAAACATAAGGACACCCAATGAATATTGTGCAAGTTTTTACTCAGATGGCGAAGTCATCAGGTTCAACTCTGGCTGAAGCTGTAGCTTTCCATAAAGCTGTTGCTGAAACTGTTACTGAACCTGAAGTTGCTGCTGAAGCTGCTTATGATGCTGAATTTGATGGTGTAACTAAAATTGATGGTTTAGGACTTTGAATAATGAAGCTGTCGAAAGAAACTTGCACAGCTGCTTTCTTTTCTCATTATACATCTTTATATAGAAGTCATTTGCATTTATTTAAATCTTAATGCTTTGTTCTGTTAATGGATCCACTTCAGAAAATATGTTCATTGCTTGCTCCATATAATATCCACAGACTTCTCACCCTTTTCATATCGTTTTAACACATCTAGTTTCTCGGCTAAGCTCATACACTTTCTATTAGCTTTTGAAACAACACTACCATCACTTGCTCTCTTGTTACTTTTACTTTTATCCTCTTCACCACTGATCGGTTCGTTAGCCGCTTGGGCGATCGGTCACGTCTCTGATTACTTTTCCTTTTCTTTTATCCTCTTCACCAAAAGATCGGCTCGTTAGCCGCTTGGGCGATCGGTCACTTCTCTGTTACGCACTGTTGGCAAGTACTGGGCATGCACCAGCTCCTGAATGTACCTGAATCTGCTCCAGTGTTGGTCAAGTCTTGTCTTGAAAGAGCTCACACTCGGTGCCCTCACAACAATTTCTGGTAGATTGTTCCAAGAATTCACAACTCTCACTCCGAAAAAGTTTGCCCTCACAGTTTTCTGGACTTGCGGCTTCTTCAATCTTGAGCTGTGAGCGTCCGCCAGCTCCAAGTAAGGACACTCGACTGAGTAGTGCCCCTTGAGATGCTTATACACCTCAATTAGGTCGCCCGTTGCCTGTCTGTAGTATAAGCTAGGTAAATTCAGGCGCTCCAATCTCTCAGGGTAGCTTAGGTGCCGAAGGGCAGGCACCAGTCTGGTGGCCCTCCTTTGAACATTTTCAACCAACTGACAGTCCCTAGTACATCTCGGGGACCAGACGGGGTGACAGTACTCCAGATGGGGAAGCACTTCACTCTTGAAGATCGTTACGAGGGACGGACCGTCTAGATATCTGAACAACCTTCTTATAAGACCCAATAATTTATTTGCCTGATTTGCCTTCTTCTCACAATGGCCCTAGAACTTCAGCTCATTGTCAACATACCCACCTTGGTCCTTCTCACATTCAGTCTCAAATAGTGCAGTTTCTTCATCCCGTTGGGACATATGATACGCCTCCTTACCGTTAGTATACCACAGGTGCATCCTCTTACACTTCGTGACATTGAATCTCAACAGCCATTTCTTCGACCATTCTTGGAGCCCACAGAGGTCCTTCTGCAGCTCTTCACAGTCCGCTTGGTTCTTGATTTCCCGAAATAACTTGGCGTCATCGGCAAACATTTGTATGGAGGAGTGTACAACGTCAGGCATGTCATTTATGAAACAAACAAACAAACAACAGCGGGCCCAATACACTGCCCTGTGGTGCTTGTGACAGGTACGGATGATGATTTCGTGCCATTAATCACCACACACACTGCTTGCGGTCATGTAAAAAGTTTTCTATCCACGCAAGGATATTTCCCTGAATTCCGTACCCTTCCAGTTTGATTTTCAGCCTTTCGTGGGGTACACTGTCGAAAGCCTTGGCAAAATCTAGGTAAATATTGTCGATATTACCACCCCGTTCCAGAATATGGGTCCAAATATCCAATACCTTGAGCAATTGTGTTAAGCAGGAGCGCCCCAGCATAAAACCGTGTTTGGCAATCCTTTACAAGGTTATTTCGTAGTAGATGTTCCCTTGCGGCATCTCTGATAATACTCTCAAATACTTTACATATTATGCTGGTCAGGCTCACCGGTCTATAGATGTTCGTGGAGTGACGATCGCCCTTCTTGAAGATAGGACTCACATAAGCCACTTTCCATTCACTGGGGACCTTTTGTTCATCCAGGCATTTACAAAACAGGATTTTCAGGGGCTCGGCAAGCTCGTTGCTCAACTCTCTTTGCACTCTAGGAAGCACCATGTCAGGACCGGGACTCTTATGGACCTTTAGCTTTGACATTTTATTTCTAATACCCTCTTCTGTGAACACAATGTGGGTCAGTGCTGTGTCAAACTGTCTGTCCTCAAACGCAGGAAGGTTAATCGCATCCTCTCTTGTGAACACCGAGGAAAAGAAGCTGTTCAATGCCTCAGCTTTATCCTGGTCAGAATCTGCATAACTACCATCTTCAAGCCTCAGGTCTGATACTCCTACTCGCATTTTTAATTTTGACTTTGCATAGTGGTAAAACGCCTTTGAGTTTGACTTGACCACGCTTGCAACCAGCCTCTGGAACTCCTTTTCAGCCCTTCTACATTCTATCTTTGCTTGGTTTCTGGCTCTTGCATACATCCTCCTGTCTCCTGTCCTGCTCATCATTTGACCCAACCCACGTCTTGAATGTCTGGGTTTTCTTCTTAACTTATGTCGACTGCCGCATGGTTCATGTTTAGGGATCCCCTCGTATTCCTAGAGACACTGGGTTTGGTCTTGGGTATGTATTTATTGATCAAATGGGTCACTTTACTAGTTATGATATTCAGCGTAGTGTCTGCGTTCTTGTGCCTTAATGAGTCAGGCCAGTGGATACCCCTCATCCCATTGTAATTTCCCCTGTAATATTTGCACCTTGGCCTGGCCTTATCTTGAACTAGGTAACAGTTAAATCTGAATGACAACACTATATGGTGACTGGTGCCAACTGGGGCAAGGTGTTCCAGTTTGGCCACCATACCCTCCTCATTTGTTATGATGAGGTCTAGTGACTTGGGTGTTTGCTCCCCTCTGTAATGTGTCGGGTCTCTAACATGTTGGAACAGAAAATTATCTCTCAGAGTTTCTACAAAAAGAGTAGCAGGGTTATTCAAGTCATTTGGGGTGAACTCGTTTCTCCAGTCGATGTCGCCATAGTTAAAGTCCCCCATGATAAGGAGGTGGCTAGGGTTGAGCATTGCCGCGTTGTCTGTTAAGGCTCTTAAGCTCCTTTGATTTAGTGGGCCACAGTTTGGGGATCTGTAGATACACCCGACAATAAGTAAGTCCCCTCCCTTTAGTTTAATTTTACACCACTTGGACTCTTCAAAAACATCCTCTCCCTGTACCCTCGTCTGGCTGGCGAGGGATGCAAAAATACTGTAAGAAACCTGAGAAAGTTTTTCTGCTGTTCCTGTTCAGATCCGTGAAAACAAAGGGACCGCCAAGCTCCGACTATTGTTTACTGGCGATGCACATTACCACTCATTAGCCAGGCAGCTTTTTTGCAAAAGGCGCTCTTCTTTTTTTTTCAGTATTTTTTTTTAATACATATCGGGATTTAGTTATTATTTATATCAAAATGTAATTTATTTTTATTTTTATTATATTTTGGTAGTAAATTGAATTGGGTCCTAAATTAACTAGGGTCTTAAATATGAAAAGTTGTTGGTCGAACCATTGTTATCAGAGGCTTTACTGTACAGGTATTGATGCACTCCATTAGATTCAACGGTAACAGCTGATCCCATTATTTGTCAACTCTTAATCCTATGGAAAAATAGATTTTGATTCTAAGCCTGGGAATCCATGGCTGTCTCAGTATCATATGTACAAAAAAGGGGGATTGGATTACTAGAGCTGAAGCTGTTAAATTGTCTATGATGTATTATGTTTATTGATTTTTGGTGTGAAATTAAGATCAAAGGCTCATGTATAATATAAAAAAATTTCATACATAAGATGACACAAATGGCCATTACCATATTTGTATTCCATTTAAAGAGACAATTCTATCAGTTATAGGACTTAAGAATAATTAATTTACCAAATATCCAGACTGGCGGTGAGTGAAGATGCTAGATGAGTTTATTCTGCTGAGAGAGGACCCTGTACACAAGGGGTTAAGCTCATTATGGTTTGTTGTCAGTGTTAAAGTTTGTGTTGTAGTTTGAAGGTACAGTAAGTTTAACAGTGAGGTTATATGTTAGAAATAAGTTAATTAATGATTTAGGTGAATATGCTGTGTTGAGGTATTGCCTTATGGCTGGCTTTCTGTCTTTGTAAGAAATATCAACGTGATTAATAGGAAATATAATCTATGGCTAAGTGATGTACTGTACTGTAATGTAATGTAATGTAATGTACTGCTGTACTGTAATGTACTGCTGTACTTATAATGTAACTGGTGTGCAGGGGATGGTCAGAATGGTTGTAAGTAATGAAGATATAAGTTAGAAATGTTATCAAGGAATTGTTAACATGAGAGATGGTTTACTACTGAACAGTTTACTTTCTTTTGATGATATTAATTTATCTTTGTATGTGATGAGTTTGAAATAGGCTGAACACCATTTCTGTGTACAAGTGAATATGTTTGTTGCTTTCAGATGCATTTTAATTTTATATCCAGGTTTAAACTATCCTTTATTTTGAAATAAATTATTGTACATAAAAGTACTTAGGATAATCATAGGTTGTTTCATATTTTAATACAGTTCTTCTACAGTGTAGGAATCATTGTTTCTATGGTGATGTTTCTGAATAAAGGAATTAATATAAATTATTATTGTTAATAATTTGGATCCATCACATATTTGTTAATAATATAAAATTTTTATGATTCTTCTCTTTTAGAGCAAAAAGAAACCTTCACAAATGAAAATGTCCATAAAGAAAGAATCAACCTCAGAAAATGATGTGAAGCAGACCATTGGCAGCAGTAAACCAACAGGGAAGAACAACCAGATTGCATCAATGTTTGCTCGTCAAGTAAAGACAGCAGATGATAAGGAGGAAGGAACTAAACCTGAAAAAGCAGGTCGGCCTAATATGGGGGTAAGATAAATATTTATCTTGTTGACAGTTTAGAACTATATGTGGTTGATGATGACAGTAAAGTAGTGTGTTTGTCCACCAGATTACAGAAAGGCTTGAAGCAAGAGTTTTACTGTCTCATGTCTTTGTTTGTGTGTGCGCGTGTGTATGTGTGCGCACATGCATGTGTACTATGTCAACAAGTAACCCATTACTGGTAACATGTCAGTTGGAAGAGGAGTTGGGGTCATTGGCTGTTGACAAACTGCAGAAGCTGTTATATTATAAAGTGGTGAGACTTTCTCAGGTAGCTTTAATCTCTTTTGGCAGCCTCAAGAGTGAACTCACAAGGTGGTGAAAATGGGCCTTTTGCTACATCATAACAGGCTTCCTCTGATGTTAAATTACCCCAGAATTTAGATTTAGTTTTTTAATCAAGAGATCCTTTCACAACTGCATGACTTTTGGGGGGAAGAGGGGGGGGTGGTGGGGTTAGACCACTAATACAGTGTTTTGTTTACTCATAGTTCATGATTAGTATTAAACCCTCAGTAACTCTGTCTTCTGATAGATTTGTGCATTGTTCATTTTTACCTGACAAATTTTCAGAATGCCTCCATATCTAATATTCTAGGGCTTGACCATTTTTCTTCAACACTCATTTGTGGATATATTTTTATTTTTTTATGTACGTGGTAGTGATGGGAAAGTCGAGGGGATTGTGGGGAAATATGGAATGTTAGGGATGAATGGAAGTGGAGGGTGACTGATAGAAATGTGTACTGAAAGAGGAGTGGTAGTGGGGCATACTGTATATTGTTAAAAAAAATTCAAGAGAAGATGGAAGAGTATGGGTAGACAGATGAATGGAATGTAAGTTGATTGCTGTGAAATTAACGATTAGCCTCTGGAATATCTGACCATTACTGAGTATAGGTGAGGTTAATGGTGAATGGAAGGTTTAATGTGGACGAGATCCAAAGAAGCTAGAAGATTGTAATAGCCACTGAGTTGAGGAAAAAGACTGAAGCTGAATGTCTTAAAGAAATGAGTGTGATAAGGTGGAGACATGTAATGGGAAGTGAATGGGGCAAGGTTGAAGAATGGGAACAGTTTACGATTGTTGTCATAAAAAAAAGTGCAACTGAGATGTGTGGGTACAAGAAAATAGGAAGGAAAAACAAGAAAGGGAATTGGTGGTCTAAGAGGTCGACAGTGCTCATTACTGACAGAAAAAGTGACTGGTACATGAATGTTAGTTGCCTGAGTGATGAAGGAAGGGATTCAGGAAAATGAAATAAAGTAATGAGTGGTGAAAGAATGCCAATAAAGAGCAGATGAAAAAAGGGAAAGGTTGACATACGCAACACAACAAACTGTACTGGAGGACCTACAGTACCAGGGTGAGATAACCAAGTGAACGTATGGAAATGACAGTAAAGAATGAAAGAAGAAATATATTGCTAAAGAAATAAGAGGTCAATGGGAGATAGAAAGAATGGTTTACTCAACTGCTTAAAGTAACAGATGAGAGAGGTGAAGTTGTCCTGTTTAGAAGGAGAAAGAGGAGATAGTAATAAGAGTGGAAGGGCGTGGAACCATATAAGTAAGCTGAAGAACGATAGGCACCCAGAGTGAACACAACCAATGTTTGAATGTTAAAGATGGGAGGTGGAACAGTGTAGAACTAGTGACAAGAGTGTGTAGGCTCTGTGTGATACTGTGTTGTAATGGGTAACAGGAATGGCAGGGAGCACATTTAATCCCTCGTACAAAGAAAAAAGTGATAAGAATTAACGTAAAACTTTTAAAGGACCAGGTCTGTTAAATCCGTCAGGGAAAGTGTATGGTAGACCTATTAAATTAATTTTATCAAAGACAATTACTGTATAAGGAAAGAGTAGTGTAGGTTCAGAAAAAGGAGAGGATATGTCGATGAACTTTTCCAATTAGATGACCTGAGTGAAAATTGTCTGGACATGGTACTGTATAGCAGGGGTTGTCAAACTTTTTTCAACCAAGGACCCCTTATATACCATGACGCATACAAATATTGTCAATAATCAAAGAATAAATCATAGTCCAAAGAATTTGTTCATTTCAACCCAAATCCAAAATATCCTGCCAATTGGAATCACCAAATCTCTCACATACGTTAAACTCGCTATTTCTCAAAAACTTTTCGCGGACCCCAGTTTGAGAATCACTGCTTTATAGTATATGAATTTATTTCCATTTGCATTATATATCAGAATAAGGTTTACATAAACTGTACATAATTGCTTGTTGTACTATTATCAAACTTTAATATTCCTGTTTTTTATGTTGAGGATATTGTACAAGTAAGTGCAGTAACTGGACATTTCTACTTGTTGATAGTTAATAATATTTTTTATAATCTAGGAATCCAAGAAGACATCATCATCATCTGCTAAATTCAAACCAAAAGGAAACATTTCAAATTTCTTCAACAAATGTCCTCCAGTAAAGAAGCCACAGACTCCTGATTCAACAAAACCAACATCTGAGAAGCCATTGTCCCCCACTACTGGGTCAGACAAGAGTGAATCTACAATTTCTTCCCCAATCATAACAGAGTCATGTTCACCCTCTTCCATCAACATAGAATCACAAGAGTCATCTAAAGATTCTCAGGTTGTGTCAAAAGAAGTTCACTCCTCCCCCAAAAAGGCTAAAACGAAGGCAAAGAGTCAGGTATGTTCTGTACAGGTCTTGGTTCAATTATTCTGTGTGTTGTTCATTTCAGTATTTAGTTAGGAATATGTTGGTATACAGGGTAGTTGTTTGTAAGTTTGATTCTCAACTAGAAGACCCAGTGGTCACATGTAGATGCTCCACACAGTTTAAATACAAAGTTAAAAAATTAACATGAAAATTGGCTAATAACTACTAAATGTATGACAGGCGCTGTCATGTAATTTTCACAGTTACTCTGCACTAGGGAAGTCATCTGTCACAAGGGGCTGTGCTGTGTTGTTAATTTTACCCCCAGCAGTTGATGGTATCACTACTACTATGCTCACTGATTTAGTATACAGATCACTATACTGTACTGTGCCTCTGTATATAAGAATGTTACAATTTGTTCCAGTATTTCTGGCATTGGGAACGATTTTCCGAGGGGCACATTTTCCGGAAAATTATGAGAAAATTTTCCCGGTACCGGAAAATTATGGGGATGGGGGAGTTTTTTCCGGGTTTAAGAGATGAAAATCAGGCTCATTTTCTGGAAATTCAGAGAAAATTTTTCCGTTGCCCGGAAAATTCCTGAAAATTCCGGGGATGAGGGATTTTTTCCAGGTTCGAGAGATGTTGTAATGGGCAATTTCTGGAACTTCCGAGAAATTTTTTCCGTTAACCGGAAAATTCCGGGGATGAAGGATTTTTTTTTTTTTTTTTTCTGGCTCTGAGAGAGTTATCTCTCATTCCCGGGAATGCTCTGCACCAATTGTTCCAGCTAACGGAGATATCACTGTATACAGTACAGTTGTACCCCACTTAACGCGGTCAATTGAACCCAGAGGGTCCCGCGTTAAGTGAAATCCGCGTTAAGTGAACAACAGAACATATGGGATTAATTCCAATAGAAACCGGCCCGACCCCCAAACTCCACTTTTTGAAGGCACATACCTATGTTGTAGTAAAAATAACATCTTAATTTTATGATGGTACATGCACACAATTAATACTTAAGAGAAATAGAGAAATACAGTCGCCAAGTTAATGTCCATTCAAATAATGGACTCAACTCCCTCTCACACTACACTGCCGGCTCTTCCCTCTCAGAGAAATTTTTGGGGGAAAACCACTAAATTTTAATAAATAATACCTCAAACTAAAGTTAGGATAATACAATTGACATTGCTGGATTCCTTGTAAGACCAGGAATATTTTGAATATAAATGTCATATATTTTGCACAAAAGATAACATAGTTACCTAGAGAAAAAATTTTATCTAAAAATTGTATGTTTAATGCAAAATATATGATGTTTATATTCAAAATGATCACCAAATTATAAGAATTCCAGCAATGTAAATTATATTCTGGCCGGGTAATTTGTATGAATTTTATGAGCTAAAACAGGCAGTCAGGCAGGGTGGCGGGTGGGGCAAATCTAAAAATAGCGTCTCGAGCCGGACACTCACCGCGTATATGTGGAAAAAATCCGTGTTAAGTGAAAGTTCAGCTCTGGCGAGGCACCGCGTATATGATAAAACGCGTTAAGTGAAACCGCGTTAGGCGGGGTAATACTGTACAGGGGGCCCCGAAATTCGCGGACTTTTATTTTGCGGCCCTCTATTATTCACGGATGACACACTGGATGTACCCAAGAGTGTCTGTGAGTAGTTTTAAAGTTGCCGATATTTTGCCGGCTGGGACAGGGAGCCATTCGTTCTAGAGACAGTAATTTCCTTTACCTGTAATATTGAAAATGTGTGTGTGTGTGTAGACACACACACAACACATACAAATAAATAATAATGGGAAAATACTCTCGGAAATATCAGAAAACAAAATTTATATAAAATGTTAGTCTACCCTCAAGTCAGTGCTTTATTTATTAACCCTTACGCCCCGGGTGACATACCGGAATGCCTGACTGATGCGCCCTGGGTGACATTCCAGAACGCATGCCTTTTCCCGCCACTGTTTAAATGCCCAGCACGGGTTATCAGGTTCCAGTGTTACTATTTGCCTGTCACGCCACATCTCGGCCACAGGGAAGCTTCCTGAACGTAATTACCTACTTTTGTTTGTTTCATTTTCATTATTTGTTTATTTTATCATGTTGAATCAAATTAATATTGCTAAAAGTAGTGTAGTTGTATTTTAGGGTAGTACTAGGGGTATTACTGGAAAATAATGCTATGATTATGTAATAAATGTATTTATTTGTGGAATTATTATTATTTTATGCATTACTTGCTCTACCAAACACAAAGACAGCCAGACAGCCTGGTGATTGACTGCATGTGTGTTGCCGAGCACTTTTTATGAAAAATCGTGCAAATAAATTATTCTATATTAATTATTTATAGCAAATAAGTATTATGATCAGTAACTATATACATTACTGGCCATCCCGGACACAAAGGTAAGCAGAAAATGGCCACTAAGTGCGTAGTGACCACGAGCGTCAGCTGTGAAAACAACACCGTCCCTTTATCTCCCTCACCACTGCGGCCCCAGCGAAGTTTCTAGGTCACTATATAGTTTTTCGTACTTCTTTTTGATTGTTTTATCATTTAAAAAGGTTTAAAAGTTATTTTTGGAAAAGTTTAGATTTTTCTTGATTTGCCCCCGCTTGGGGGGACACAGCTAGCGGCTCCCTAGCCCGGGGCTAGGGGGTTAAAGCACAGACTTGAGGGTAGACTCACTTTTTTTCTGATTATTTGTGAGAGGATTTTCCAATTATTATTTATTTGTATGTGTTTTGTGTGTGTGTGTGTCTACACACACACACACACACACACACATATTTACAATACAGGTAAAGGAAATTACTGTCTCTAGAACGAATGGCTCCCTGTCCCAGCTGCAAAAATACCAGCAACTCTAAAACCTACCCACAGACATTCTTGGGTACATCCAGGGTGTCATCCGTGAAAAACCGAGAACCGCGAAGTAAAAATCCGCGAACTTGGGGGGGGCCCCCTGTATACAGTACATTTATTTATGCACGAGTAGAAATGTCCCCCTCCCCTGCCTCCCTCCCTCCCCAGTCAACAAATGTTATTCACGGATTTGGTGATTCGCAGCCATTTTGAGAAACTAACCCCCGTAAATTTTTGGGGGGCCCCTGTACTGTAGTATAGTGAAAAGTTCTGAAATAAATCCATTTGTTTGTTGAATAAAATGTTAAAGGTGGCATTCCATAGTGAAGGGGTTAGCAAATTTTTTATGATCTTTGTTGATGTGAACTTGGGTGTGGTGACAGAAGTAGTGCACAGAATCATTGACTTTGTAAGAGGCCTTAGAATGAAACTGTAACATGAGAGCAGGCTTTGATGCAGTACAGTGTCTTGTGGGTGTTTTATATCATCTCTTATAATACAAAAGGTAATGGCTGGTGGGTGATACATAATAAGGAAAATAAAATCTAATAAAGGATATCTGATGAACTGTAGTGGTAGCTTGAAATCGTTAAACCTTTGTTTTCTCTATTTAAAATTTATGTTGTATCCTCGTTATTTCTTCTCAGTAAAATTTTGTAATGTGCAAATTTATGCAGGATATTTTAGAATCAAATGATGTTTTTGAACTTGCAAAAGCTATTAATCAATCTGTTTTAATTTTTTTTTTTTTGTGTCGTCAAATACTGTCACCCATGCTTTCAAAACTATACTTTTTTCAGCCTATATTGATTGAGACAACTTACTTTAGGATATTTGATTACGGTAACTTTTCTGATCCCAAGTTATTTCGGGACAAGGCAAAAACGGGGTATGCGAATTAGAGGACTCGCAGTTTTAGCTTAAACTAACTTAAGAACCTTGTCCCAAAAAGACCAAATGCCATCCTCTTTAATACATTACATCAGTTTTGACAGTGATGATTTTTGTCATATGTTTTCACTCATTTCACAAACCCATGGCAACAGTATCCCTCTCATGACCCAAATCACTAGTCATGATGGACAAATATATTTTAGATCACGGTTGAGTCATGTATGAAGTGTCATAAAGATGGTCGTGTAGTATTGTGTGAGTCTTAGTCTGGATCACCACAGCGATAAGTTCCAAGTTGGTGTATTGTTATAGCATGTGTAAACAAGATGACACAATCATTCCCATGTTTATATCACCATAAACTGGTTTAACAGCTGAGATCTGGTAAATACAAGTGCAATTAAAAGTGATCTTCAGTTATTATTATTATCAAACCTACAAAATGCATTAACTGGATTTCCCTGATTTTGAAATTTTATTCTAGGGCTATAAATTCAAACATGGTACTGTACAGTCACATAAAAGTCTATCCCCCGGTACAGTACAGTAATGATTTTTGCAGTGAAAAGAGAATGAAATACAGGGTACTGTTGACAAGGAGAGGTACGGGTATATGGCAGAATTTAATGGCATTACAAAAATTTATGATCTTCCCTGCAGACCAAAATTGCATCAAAGGCCAAAGGAAAGAACAAGAGGAAGCAAGGCAAAGGAGACCAGGAGCCTAAAATGAAGCGCAAGAGGATAATGCAGTTGAGTGACTCTGAGTCCAGCAGTGATGAAGGTAATTTTTATTTATTTATTTATTTATTTTATTTTTTGTGCACATAAACTTACTCTATCTTAGTACAAGTAAATTTAGCTCTTTACATGTGAGCTGTTCTGTGTGCAACTAACAAACTTGACATACTGGTATTCCCAAAAATTCATTTTCTATAATGCCTGCAGAAGAAATGTCTTGCCTTTTGCTACCAAATGGCTTTACAAACAAACCAACTGAGCTTAAAGCTATTTAATAGGGGAAGGAAAGAAATTTTAATATTATAGTGAGTTTGTTATTCATACGCTGAGCTTCTCATGTGAGAAGGATGTTAAAAGTGAGTACAAGTATGAATAAAGTTTTGGTGTCTGAAAAGGGCAATACATGTACAGTGGTGTCGCCCAATAACATGAGTTAGGAACCACCAGGGCCTGTGTTACTGCATGGAGGCATTACAGTGTGACAGGTTTGAATGTCAGAAAATAAACACTAAAAATGGATAAATACACATCAAAAAGGGCTAATTGCCTTTATTCTACCCAAAACACTTTATCAGTACATTATACACTACTGGTGAGTTAAAGTAAGACTGAAGTGAGAAAAGTATAGATCTGACTTAAGTGAAGTGGTCCAGGCTATGGTAGTTCCCTAAATGAACTACTGGACCATCATGGGTTGTTTTAATTAAGCGTGGCAGCTTTCAGCCATATTAAAATCATAATTACTTATTGTTATCCATAAATTAAGGTGGTAATTCAGGGTGCTGCATTATTCTGTGGCACATCATATAATTGGGCAACTCCACTGTACAGCACTGATATGATTTTTAGCATGATCATTGAAGAATTAAATGTATGGTAATAGGTAAAATTTTCTTTGGGGTTAGGTTCTCAAAATGGCCGCAAATCCACAAATAACATTTGCCAACGGGTGGGGGGAGGGGGGGGTATATTTTTACTTGTGCACAAAGAAATTTATATTACCTTTGTGTTTGCCCTTTGGCCAATTATTTCTTTTACCTGTAGTATTGTATGTGTGTGCGTGTGTGTAGACACACACACACACACATATACAATAAATAATAATGGCAAAATCTTCTCACAAATAATCAGAAACAAATGTATTAAAAATGTGACAGTCTACCCTCAAGTCCATGCTCTATTACAGTACTGTATTTTGTTAATAGAGCATGGACTTGAGGGTAGACTATCACATTTTTAATAAATTTGTTTCTGATTTGTGAGAGGATTTTGCCATTATTATTTATTTGTATGTGTTTTGTGTGTCTACACACACACACACACACACACACACACACACACACATATTTACAATTCAGGTAAAGGAAATTACTGTCTAGAACGAATGGCTCCCTGTTCCAGCCACAAAAATGCTGGCAACTTTAAAACTACCCACAGACATTCTTGGGTACATCCAGGGTGTCATCTGCGAATAACTGAGAACTGCGAAGTAAAAGTCTGCGAACTTGGGGTTTGGGGGCCCCCTGTATATGCTAGTTGAGGATATGAGTATGTGTGAAGTACAGTAATTGTTTGACAAGAGTAGAAATAAGAAAACGGATGATAATAGAATTATGCAAGGAAGGAGAGTTTAGATGCCTTGTGCCATGATGATGGGAAGGAATTTGTGTGTGAAAAACTGTGTTAGAAGCCAGCATGCAGTGCTCCTCAAGCCCTTGTACAGCTGAGGATACAATAAACCCTCAGGACAATGAACTAATTTGGGTAAGACCACAGTCGCTAAACCCGAAAATCCGTTAAAGCCAATAATTATTTTGAGCTAAAGGGGGTTTGCATTACTGTACCAGATATTTTGATATAGGAGATTTTATTATTGTACAGTAATTTCTATTGTAAATTTTAGATATATTCCTAGTAATGAAATACCTCACGCCTCCATTAATGCTTAAGGTACGTATGTTCCAAAAATCCCCCATTATTGAAAAAAAAATTTTTAATGCTCTGTCCATAAATACAGTCTGTCCTTGACTTATGACGGGGTTAGGGACCGGCGACCAGGTCGAAAATGCGAAAATAATACATAGAAAATCTAAAATGGGTGTCTCTCTTTCTTCTCAGCACCACGAGAACTCTCACTTTTACGCTTGCCAGCCATTTTAAAGGGAATTACAAACAAAAAATTTTGTCAGTACACAGCACGATCACCAACGTCGGGACTCGAAAATACATAATATATATATATATATATATATATATATATATATATATATATATATATATATATATATATATATATATATATATATATATATATATATATATATATATATATATATATATATATATGTATATATATATATATATGTATGTATATATATATATATATATATATATACCGTATATACTCGTCTATAACCCCCCTTCGTATATAGGTCGACCCCGATTTTATGACCAAGAAATCGTTAATTTATGATATTCCTCGTTTATAGGTCGACCCAAGATTTTGAGGGTAATGGAACAACAAAACCTTCAGAAAAACTCTACGTCCTATAAACTTGTTTACCATTTATTATTACGACACTTTACACTGAAACGCAGGTAGTTTCAACAAAAATATTGTATATTTCCATTCAAATATTTATTCAAGTCAATTAGGAGGGAATATTATTGTAATACAACAGTTTTTTAACTAAACCATTCGAAAAGCGATTACGGTAACATCTTTTGAACGAAAGAAAGCGAGTCATTGTTTTCGTCACGATTTTATCCCACTTTCCACTGTAATACGTACGTAATTTCAGGAAAAAATATTACATTTCCGTGAATGTAGTATATCAAGCACAGTATGAATAGAATATCATTGTAATATAACAGAATTTTAACCGAAAACTATTAAAAAAACGAATAACATCTCAAGAACATCGGAAGCTTAGGTGAAGTCTTTTGTTTTCGTCATGTATTTTATCCTATTTTACATTGAAATACATCACGTTTCAGCAAAACTACTATTTATTTCCGAGAATATATTCATTCAGGCACAGTTTAGGTAAAATATACGTGTGATGTAATAGTTTTTTAACTGAAAACGATTCGAAAAACACGTACCCTCTAGCCCTGTTCAAGGAGAGGACTGGGAGAAGCTGTTTGGTGCTGCAGACGATGACAAGGAAAATGATTTTGATGGATTTTAATGAAAATATTCAGAAATATGGTATCGTAATATTTATTCAAGTCAATTAGGATATTATTGTAATACAATACAACAGTTTTTTAACTAAACCATTCGAAAAGTGATTACGGTAACATCTTTTGAACGAAACAAAGCGAAAGTCATTGTTTTCATCACAATTTTATCCCACTTTCCACTGTAATACGTATGTCATTTCAGCAAAAAATATTACATTTCCGTGAAGGTATTATATCAACCACAGTATGAATAGAATATCACTAATATAACAGTATTTTAACCTAAAACTATTAAAAATACGAGTAACATATCTTGAACATCGGAAGGTTAGGTAAAGTCTTTTGTTTTCTGCATGTAGTTTATCCTAATTTACATTGAAATACATCACGTTTCAGCAAAACTACTATTTATTTCTGAGAATATGGAAATGTAATATTTTTGCTGAAATGACGTACGTATTATAGTGGAAAGTGGGATAAAATCGTGACAAAAACAATGACTCGCTTTCTTTCGTTCACAAGATGTTACCGTAATCGCCTTTTGAATGGTTTTCAGTTAAAAACTGTTATATTACAATAATATTCTTTCCTAATTCACTTGTGATGTAAAAGTTTTTTAACTGAAAACGATTCGATACACACGTGTACCGTCTAACTGATACGGCAGAGCCCTGGTCGTGGAGGCTTTGTGTTTGCATCGGCCCTTCTTAAGCAGCTTTTAATTTTAGCGTACGTTGAAATTGTGTTTACCGGTGTATTCTTATTTTCTTGCTTCTTATTTTCCAGAAATATGACAAGTTTTTATATAATACAATGTTACGGTACTTTTAATTTACAAGTATTCATTTTTAAAAATACAGAAGACACCAAACAAATACTAGTACGGATATTTGCGTGACTCTCCCGCCAAAAAAGACCAAACAGCTGGTACTCTCTCCCTCAGCCCTACCAAAAATAGCCCAACATCTTTCTTTTTTATTCTCTTCCAATTTCTCACTTTAACTGGTATTTTTTACTTCATATTGCCTACATCAGATAAACTACAGTAATTGAGGTTAGATATTGTTATAAATTTGATTACCGGGTCCTGGCAGGTACCGTTAGAACCACCTGACCCTACCAACAGTGTTGCAAGTCAGACAGCATTTTTTTTTTTTACATTTTTGGTGTCTCCATTTGTTAATTTTTTTTCTGTGGGGTTTGCACAATAGTATACTGTTTTACCTACAGTATTGTAAAACGATTTGGGAAAAGAAATACTCGGTAACTTAAAATTTTAAAAGGAAAATTTTGAAACTGGCAACTGTGTGTAGATGACCTGACTCACATCATATTGATGTTTCAAATTTAATTAACAAAAATTTATGTATCTATAAATAAACTTTTAAAAATGAATACTTTATGTTTTACATACTCCTGTGCATACCATACCATGCATTTGGCTACTTTGGGCTTGCTATGATGACGCAAGAGATCTGCCCTGGCAACTGTACCGACACTCACAGCGGGTGGTGCGTTGGTGCATCGTTTCCATTGTTTACTGGTAGTTACTGGTAAATTTTTTTCAACCTAACGAAACTATTACCCGTATAGAGGTCGACCCCCAACTTTTTGCCCAAAAATTTGGTCTTAAGAACTCATGCTATACACGGGTATATACGTATATATATATATATATATATATATATATATATATATATATACATACACATACATACATACATACATACATACATACATACATACATACACATACAGTGACCCCTCCGTTAACGAACTCAATCCGTTCCAGAAGGTAGTTCGTTAACCGAAAAGTTCGTTAACCGAAACCATTGTTTCAATGGGTTTTTGGGTAAT